CTTAATATGCCTGTTCCACAGGAGTTTACTGTCCAGGGTTATTCCCAGATATTTAACTTCCTGTGTTGGCAGTATTACCTTTCCATCTAGTTGAATTCTTTTCAAGTTTTTCAGACTTCGCTTTCTGGTGAATGGCACTATCGCGGTTTTGTCTGAGTTGATACTCAGCACGACAGTCCTACACCATCTCTCAGTGATACGGAGTCGTCTTTGGATAATATTACACAGGGTGCCTTTTCCCCCGAGCGATGATGACTATGTCATCTGCATACCCAATGCAGTGTATTCCCGCTAGAGTTAATTCGTCTAGTAGTTCATCCACTACCAAGCTCCACAGCAAAGGGGAGGTTACTCCACCTTGTGGAGTTCCTTGCGTTGTTTTAACAGCTACAGTTTTGGTGCCCATCTGAGCCTCTGCTGTTCGTGTTGACAGCATTTCCCAAAACCAGCGAATAATAGTTCTGTTCACCCCTCTTGTTTCTAGAGATCGCCTGATCACCTTATGTGGTATATTGTCAAACGCCCCCGCGATATCCAAGAAGGCACAAATTGCTGTTTCTTTGCTATCCAGACTTGTCTGTATTAGCTCCGTTAATCGGTACAGAGCAGTTTCTGTGGATCTGCCCGTTCTATATGCATGCTGACTATCATGCAGTGGTTTAACCTTTAGATGATTTTTTCCAATATGGTTGTCAACTACTTTCTCCAGCGTTTTTAGTATGACCGATGTGAGACTAATAGGCCTAAATGACTTGGGATTTGTCCAGTCAGTTTTGCCTATTTTGGGCATGAAGATTACTTTTGCTCTTCTCCATGTGGTTGGTATATATCCCATCGCTAGACTGCTTCTTGTAATGCTTAGTAGATGGTGAGTAGCTATTTGCTGACCCTCCTTTAGAAGGGCAGGAAAGATCCCATCCACTCCTGCTGCTTTATAGGGCTGAAAGGTGTCGATCGCCCGATATTGATACTAACAATTTATAACAAAATTGTTGAATAGGTGCTTAAAGAGAGACTAAATAAAATAAACTGACTTTTGGTTTTACATGAGATCTCACAAATTTTTATAGTGGAAGAATTGTGTTGCGAGACTTGGCATTTTTTACATTCTATGTTTTTGATGGGATAGAGTTGACAGAATAAAGACGATCTATAAGAAGTCAGAAATCCGATAAATAGTTATATGTTAATGCGGAGCTGTTGGAAAAGGGTGATTATATTTGAAACACCCAACAGCTTTCAGAGCAATAAATAAAACATAGTGATTCAGGAGACAATGTGAAATAAAGCCATTGGCTCGGAAAATTACACCCTCTCCGGACAGAAGTTTACGCTACGCTTAATCTAAAAGACGGTCGTTTTTATTTTTAGGCGACCAAGTAACAAAGTTGATGTCCACCAACAGCTGTTGTTGGCTTGGCCCTTTGAGCAGTCTCCCTACCTTTTTTTTCCTCCAATTCTTAATTAAACAAATGACAAATTACATGTCCCAATTCTTGACCGGCTTCCGATACAAAAAAGACAGAAACTATACATTAAACAGGTGAAAATGTTTGATCGGAGGAAGTTTACATGAAGAATTTGTTCGTTTCGGGTCTACATATAAATATGTTAAAGGCTTTTTTTCGATGTTTGGAAAAACGCTAATGCAGCACATATGTGTCTTTCTTTTCATGCTTTCTATAAGAATACATCAAAAGAATTTAGGAGAGAAAGATAAATCGTTTTTTGAAACGAAGTTTTAATGAAGTTCAGAACCAGACTTGTTACATAACATTAGATAAGTGAATATGTACATATCTAGGTTGGTACGGAGATTTCCCTGCAAATGATGGTAAGCCGGCAGGTTGGGTATTAATAGGCTGTGGTATTATCTTAATAAAGCAAAAATCAGTATGGGGGAGTCATTAATTACATCAGGGGATCAATGGGATGAGGTGGTCAAGCAAAATCTCACTAAATCTTATACACCCTCTACAAAAAATTTCAAAGCAGGCCAAGATCGTGTTTCCTCGCCTAAATTTGTCTCGTCTCGGATTATCTCCGGTTGCCTTGCCCTATTTTGCATTTGCCTTGGCCTTCATACTTTCATTTCTTTAAAACGCCTAGAAACTACTCGTGGAAAAGGGCGTGGAGGATTTTTTTGACGACTTTCGGTTGTTTCCTGTTGTCTCATTCAATTTCGTTTTGTCTCGAGCTAATTCCACGATATTTCGGTTTCTATACCCGAGACAAAGGACTTTTTTTTCATAAATCTCAATGAAATAAGTAAACCTAGACGTTTCTAAAATACCAGGGTGAGTCTTAAATAAGTGTAAATGTTTTCAGGGCTGGTAGATCTCGATAAAAGGAACATATTTTCTCTTTACCGTTTTTCAAATAAGTCTAAAACAACCGAGTTATTTTACTTTGAAAATTTCCAAAAAAAATTTAATCTACTACCTATGTTGTCATATTATCAAGAAATTATGTTTTTTAACTAAAAACTAAACAAATTTCCAATTTTATTTCCAAAAATTCCAAATTTTCTTTTTGTTTCGTGAAAAACACCTCATAATCGTGTTTCTGTTTACCTCATAATCGTGTTCTGTCTTATTCAAGACTCACACTGTATATGTTGTTCCGATGACATTTCGTTAATTACATCTCGTTTTATGTTCATTTATATTCCACAAAATTAATATTTGAAGACGCGTTTAAACATGTATAGTAGATATTTAAGAACAAAACTATTCACATTAATCTGCATGAATATAAATACAATATTTTTATTATTTAAATTGATTATAATGAATTAGTATATAAAATTATATATTTTATTGTTTACGGCCTTAATTGATTAATATAACAGTAGAATTGCTTGATGAGCAATACTGGTACTGGTAATATCATCAAAATATATCGAGCTGACTGGGAAAATTATGGATTGAAGCATTTTTAAAAAGCAATGTTCTCTTATTGTTTTTAAGAGAAAACACTGTAAACGATACTTTTGTTAGCACACAGCATGGTTTACAAGGCTAAGAGCAATGTAAACCCAAATGTATCTTTGATTAGTGGAACAACTTTACCTTGAGATAACCAGCTGGTACTAAATAAGCTGTGATTACTTACAAATAGTGAAATTTGCCAATAAATTTAAGAAATATATCAGAAAAATTATATTACATATACCAGAAATGTTATAATAATGCTCTTAAATTTGATAGTGCTATGTTGGATGATAGAAGATATAAGATACGAAAGTTGCTTTTCAGTAATTTTAATAAATTGACTAAACCGAGAGTTTAATTGATTAACGCGAAAGGAAATAAATACTGTGTAACATTATAATGCATAAACTTATGTTAATTATAGTGGCCAAATAGGAATGCAGCCTTTTACGAAAAACCATAGTGTGTCATCCCACAAGTTCAATTTTGCAAATTGGCAATAACGTTAGAAGGAAGATCGAAGATGAGCTTGAGAGTCATTGACCTCTATTGAAGAAGATGCAGAATTTGGTCTCTGTACCCACTTACTCAAGTCGGGTCACAAGTCAAATCAAATTTCTACTATCTTAGGATACCATTATTTTTAGAATCTGTTTAGTTACTTTCTAATTGTATTTATTGCAACACTCATCTCGGTGCATATCCTCGTTTTCAGACCTTTCATATTGTTCCGAATCATTTCTGTGCAACTGCATCTTCGTTAACTGTTTTCTGCTAACCGAAAAATTACAAATTTTTAATTACTATAGTTCGAATGGAATTTTCATTCAAAAATTCCACCAACCTACATAATTTTTATTTTTAAAATGTTTTCGCGGCTTAGACAATGTGACTAAATGTTATGTTATTCTCCTAAATTATTAGATATATAAAAAAATTAATATAGTTTCATGTTAATTCGTATTATACGTATATGCGAAATATTACATTAACTTATTAAAAAATTCCAGGAATATAATTTTATTCAAAAAAATTCCAATAAAAATGATTACAGCAAAGAAATTACATACTAAATACAAAAGAAGAAATATTTTTTCATTATCTACTATAATTAAAAATTACTTTAAAAAAATCGTATGAATATGGAAGTTTTAATTTTCAGATTTTTAATTAGGTAATTGAATAATATTAAAAGCAATCGCATTTTTCTAAAGGGAATTATATACATTAAAGAATTTTAGAATCTGATATTTATTCTTATCATAAATTGTACTATATACCATTTGATCGAAAAAAAAACGGCGTCACAGTGGGCTTCGAAATGAAGATCTGTGGTATTTACAAGCCAGTTCGAAATCGTAGAACATTTAACTTATTGTGTTCTTATTAACCTCGAATATTCCATCCAAGAAACAGCGAATGCAGATTCTGTTGGGAAAATGTAGAAACATTACATCTCCATCACTGAATGCGCCGAGACGACAACCATTCTTACCACAAACTTTGGTTCGGACTGATTTCGGAGACGGAGAACTAGCCTCTATGAATCCGTCTCTGATACTAGCTTTTGTCAAAGCCCTGAGATTGTATGATGAGTTATAACTCAAGAAAGAGGGGCACAATAGATCTGTAAGGTCGCGATGATCAACCCCCCTCTTACACATTCTACATTCACCTGTATTCATTCAGTTTAGTAATAAAATTAAATTTTGTAAAATCCTCCTTAAGCACAAATAAAAGTTTCATTGGAGGTCTAAATACAATTTCAGTGATTTTTTAAAAATTCCAAGGATTAAAATATGCTATATTGTATGGTGTAATCGTGAATAATCGTTAAAATAAAGCGGCATTTAAAGTTACAGTGTTATGATTTGGCGGGAGCCTAGGAAAACAAAATAAATCCCGCTAAATGTTACAAGCGAAACGAAGTGGCTTTTAATTATTTTCGCTTTTTTCCTGGCATTTACGATGTCGGAAACCATCGAACAAAATAAACAAACGTATAATAAAGCACACAAAGCGCACAGGCAGACACAAGCGAGTCCAAGTTTAAATTTATACACATACCAAAATAATGTTTCTATCCATTTCAAGGTTGGGACCGTCACCTTTACGGCCAAACAAATAGATGGTCATTCCTGAATGAGTACACGATCACAATCACTGTACAAACACGACACTACGTCCCTTTTTTTTAAACACCCACTAGAAACACCGAAATACAGGTGAAAATTAACTAAGGTCACATCACTGTAATACACTGGACTACGAAAAAAATTGAATTGCTTCTAATTGTGTTAAGAAAAACGGAGAATCGAATGAAGTATGGAAGCCCTACCGGTGAAAAGTCGGAAAAACAATTTTCTTTCGTATGGTTTCCCGTGTAACTAAGATTTTCCGTTTACCGAAGAGCGAGCGAGATAGACATTTTTCAACGTGTTATATTTAGCGAATCAGAAGCATCAGGCACTCTTGCTTTTCGACCTCTTCCAAGTGAGTTATAAATATATCGGAGCGTCTGTGTTAAATGTATTATTTGTTTGGTTTCATTCAAATTCGGTTTGGTCAGGGCCAGGTGTTAAGCCGGGAAAATGAGTTAAATATTTTCATTGGCCCGCAGAAGAAAAACCTCAATGCGACTCGCGTTAACTGTTGCATCTCGCAGCCAAAGTCCTTACTGAGGCGCGTCCCGTGCCTTTCCTTACAAAAACAAACTTAAATCCACGACTTTTTCCAGTTTTCCCATCTATTTACGTTCCGAACTATTATTGGAATTTAGTGTGCTACACTGTCAGTAATCGAAACATTTATGCCACACTTTAGTCGATAGATTGGTTTTTAAAGATCTCAATGAGGCCAACGATTGGATTTTATTTGTGCAATAACTTCAAAAATAAAATACATCCATTGTCTTTTTTAACTACTTTAAAATATTCCAGGGTTATCTATTACTTCGATTATGTTCAAAACCCAACACCAACATGAGGGTCAAATGCCAACAAACAATGCTCATTAATGCCATTGATAGGCTCAGAACCGTTTTGCGGTTCAGCAGCACGCACAGAGAATTTCCACAAAACAGTGAGTAATCAACAAATCTCTAGAATGGTGCAGAAATTCAGTCAAAGCTGTAGTAGGTCTACCAATAGGGCATCGTAAGCTCATTTAATGAGCTTACTAATTTAGGCATCTAAATCTGATGGAATTGGCAGACGAAGCCATGTGCAGATCTTGTCAGTCTGAATAAGAAAAGAGACACATGTCATACAAATACGAAAAGACTATTTATACCCTACTTTTTAAAGCCACCTTATCTGACCTATAAAATTACCATAGCCCTACATTTATCTAATGCAATATAGGACTTGTCCTAAAATTAAAGTTCACTATAGATTAGCATTTATTCTATAAAGCTAACTTTTAAATACATTTTAATTAACAATTTTTATTTGTTTTTGATATAACTATTAAGGTAATTTTACTATATGTACGTCAAAGAGAGACAATTAGTTTCAATTTAATTAAAATACAGCCCTGTCCGAGAAAATTAAAATAGAATATCGATTATTGGCTTCAGAGGGCTCTTGAAAGTTCATAGCCTCAGCACTTGAGACTGCCGATTGTCTGACACCTCTTTATTTCGAACATTTCCATTTTAATTTCATTTTCGTCACGAAAAACTAATTTTCCGATTATACGACAGTCTCGCATCAACATCGTTGCAAAAATAAAACTAAAATTCGTTTTTTGCTTTATAATTTCTAATTACGTAAAAGCTTCTAGGATGTTTATTGCCTTAATAAACAATGACAGTTTATTTTCAGTAGAAGACTTAAAAAAAAGTTAATTACTTAATAATTATAGTCTCTGAGATAGTCTACTGAGATCTAAAATAATAATTGTTGCCGCAGGAATAGGCTGAATGCTATGTTTAAATCCCATATAAATATGACAAACACGTTCTTTCTATGGTTCTATCTCTATCTCTATATCATCTGTATATATTTTGTACTTGAACTAGAGTGATATGGTAATATAATATTAATACTGATTCACTCCAATACAGTGAGGTAAAGTGTATTTAAGTTTAGTGTTGCGTTTTTTATGACAAAACTGGTAAAATCGAAAAGAAGAACACTTAATATGTATCTAGGATGTGGTTAAGCATTAAATCAGCCTGCCATCGCAGTTTTGCCACCACTATTTTAATGCTAGGTAAATTAATCATTGATGTGTGGCGCAGAATATTGAAAGACGTTTTTTAATCAAGTATTTACTTACTTCTTCTCGATGTGGGCAACTCAGGGCGTCGAAGAAGCAGAGATGGGTATATAATTTATTGTTAAATATCTCGGCTATTTTCAATTTATTCTAAAAATGTTAAATAGAAAAATGTTTCTTTTGACCATACCACCCTTAAAACACTTGCACTTATTTCTGGGACACCCTGTATAACTTATTAGGTAACTCCTTTATCTCATTTTATTATTGAAAATTAATAAACTGCTGTGTATTTCTTTTTAATGTATTGAATTGCAATTATTATTCCAAAAAGAATTCTGTTTATTTGCTCCTCTACTATAAAGTAATTTAGTACGTGATCAGATGTCTGGCCAGGGAAATATTTATTTTAATAAAACAAATATAATAACTTTGCACTATTTATTATTGTGTATTCGTTTATTTTATTTGTATATAAACTTGTATATAAACTTGGGAAAAAAATAATACAATAAAAATATTTTAAAAATGTTTAATTTTTGCAATTGATTCGTTTTCTTAAACTTACAGATAAAGTTAAAATATTCTCATTAAGTTCTACTTATATACAAAATACAACTAAATTGATAAATTAATTCTAAAAATAAATAATTCTCTTAATTAATATACATATATTATAAGGTCACGTAATTTTATATTTAGACTTGAAATATTTTAACACGACTACATGTATAAAAGTTTCTTTTATAAAAAAAAAGGCCGAAAGTTGATAACGACAATGAAGAAACAAATAAATAAAATGTGTATAAAATTGTAAAAAACAAACACGCATGAAAAAATAAACGAATTTTTTTAGTCCTTTAAACACAAATAGGCATTCGACATCTTCTTAGTCCTCAGGTACGAAGATTTATTATACACGATTTTAAATTAAAAAAATGGCAAAATATTCTTCTACACGACCATTAATAACTTTACAATAATTACAAAAACGAACTCGCAGAATAGGTAGGTTACTGTTTAAGACACTTGTCAATGTATTGTATTCAAAAAATGTTTTCAGTGTCACTCTAAACTACCTAAGCTGCAGTGGCACTTTATACATTTCAAATATTTAATAGTATATACAGATATACATCGGACTTCAAATTAACGATTTGATCACTCTATTGCATCACTATAGAATTTACAAAAAAATTGTGACGTACACCGCACAATTAACACTAATATTGCTCTTTTTCCTGAAATCAGAAACTGGTATCAACTAAGATCAGTCATCTGGAAAATCGTAGAACGAATACTGCGTACAGGATGAGTTGTTTACAATCCCCGGATCGGAGGGCAGTGGCACAGGTAGAGGCCTGGCAGGTTTCCTCGGCCTACTAGCTCTGGAACCGGCATTTGCCGGTCCCGATGGGCGTAAACGGGGTCTTCCAGGACCCCGTCGCGTCCCAGGCCCTAGGGGCAGCCCGGGGGTGGTATCGATGAACATCTCACCAGCTCCCCTAGGAGACGATTGCGTAGAGGACACGGATGATGCAGAATCCGCTGTCTGTACCTCTCCAATTGAATTTAAAGGCACTGAAACAGACGAAAATGTCTTAAGGAATAAGTTTCTACTTTTGACACCCTGTACAGACTTAGAGATACCGACTAGACCATCGAACAATTCGAGAAATGTGATAGGACTACGGTATTACATAAATTTGCTTTTACAGTGCTAATTAACTAATTCCTCTGCACCAAGATATGGCTATCTGTTGCCAAGTATGTAGTTCGAATGGAGTTTATTGATCATGATTAATAATAACGCCTAAATTAAAAAGATATATCAGTTTGTGTTAAAAAACGAGTTAAAATTGTTTTTGTTTTAGCCTTTGTTTTTTGAACTGCATACTTGAAATTGCTTAAAAAAGCTCTATATAAAAGGATAGCAAACAAGGTGAAAATTTAATTCGAAAAACAAAGAGAGGTCATTGAAAAACACAACGATGTTGCAATATCTAAAATTTATCGCCATCCCGTTTGTTGCCATTTAATGGGACATAAAATACAAATCATTTGATAGATTGATGTTTTAATTTCCTAAACGTATAGATAGGCATCACACCGATCCAAAACAAAACTACAAAACGCTTTATATATCAACGGCGTAAACGTATATACGAGTATAAATTTTATCACTGTTCGGTACCTCTAGTATTAATTACAAACTGGGCTACCGCAGAGCAAATTGAAATCATAAATAATATGATCTCTTAAATTCTCATTCATATTCAACTAATTGAAAACGGAAGACCTAATTCAATCTGAATTATTTAAAAGCACGTGCTTTCAACAGCAAGAAAGGAATTAATTTTTTAAACCGCTCAAAACATTTTTATCAAATAATATAAGTAGAAATAATCCATAAAATATAAAAAACGTAAATTTGCAATCGTATGTTAGATTAATTTAATTAATATATTATCTAAATGAGTGTGAACAAATTTGGGACATGATTGCTTTTTAATTTCCCTAAATACCAAAAAAAAACATATTATTTTTAAAAAATCACCCCCTCCTGTATAAAGCGAGCATTAGATGACAAATTGTATATTGTTATCTATAATAATAATAATCATATTAAATCTGATAATTCCCTATACACTTTTTTAAAACCCTGTATATAAAATTATATACATAATGAATTTGATTTTAATGATATAATAAAAAACGGCTTAGTTTTAGATAAAGACTAGACACTTATAAATAATATCTATGTACAAATATACTGGAATTCACGTTCCGAAAAGAGTTTTAAATCTCGAACTATTAATTTTATGAATTTGTTAAAAATATACCAGATTTCTCGTATACCAATATTAAACATAGTAACAGTATTCGTATTCGTTATGTTAATTACGGTATAAAAGTGCCTAGTTCTTATCAAGAATGTGAATAAACTAATAGAGTTCTATCGGTAAAAAAACTAGTCAGTCTGTTTGACTCACTTTCGGATTTTCGTGGTATTTGTCAATCAATTGATTTGATGGAAATATCATAAATCAACTAATAAATCGGTCTCCGTAGATATACAGGGTTAGTCTTAAATAAGTGAAAATATATTTCGACCCTATATTATTTTTTTTTAAATTTGGAATTTTTTTAGAATTTTGGAAATTTTCAAAGTAATACAACTCCGTTATTTTGGACTTATTTGAAAAACGGTAAAGAGAAAATATGCTCCTTTGATCGAGATTTACCGGCCCTGAAAATATTTGCACTTATTTAAGACACACCCTGTATAACTCAATTTTTTTACTTAGACAAAAATAATAACAGCAAAAAAGCAATTTCGTTGCTTTCAAATTTGCAAAATCTTAAGATATCGGTCTTTAACTGTAAGCAGCATTTTCGAAAACTAGTCATTTTGATTTTATTTTCGACAAAAAAAGTTCAACTGGTATTCCCGATTGTCACTTTTTAAATTGTCGCCCTGTATTTAATTCTTAGTATATTCGTACAAAAAATAAATTAGTCGATAAATATCAAGCCTCAAATGGATATTTTTGCGCGATCTAAACATTTGCATGCCCTTTGGAGGTTTTCAATACTTGTCCATCAAAAAAAGGAGGATAAAAAACGTCTTATCCATTATAAGAATGAGGGAATCGAACGGGCAACAAAAATCAGGATAGGAGGCGGCAACTCTTCCCGGCATCTGGCGGATATCCTTTAGGAAATCTATTCAAAGGTGGTTCTAAAAAGGTGGCAGTTTTTTGCGCAGGTAGCTGTCGCTGCACAGCCGCTGATTTGCCTACAAAAAAGGCGACGGAAAAAAGCCAATTGAATGCAGCCGTTTTTCGAAAGGAAACCCGGATGTTCGGTTTCGGGACCTACATTTTATTTTTGGCCTCCAAGGTGGATGGATGAAGAAGCATATGGGCCCCGTTTGAAAGCTTTTTTACCGACGAAACTCAACAAAACGCCGTTTTACACTGATAACCTAATTTTCGAACTACTTACTTAACTTAATCGCACGCTGAACACGTATTCTTCATTCGAGTAGCGCGTTCAAAGACAGATAAAACTACGATTGAAACGGTGAAAATAAAAGGTTTTCTCTAAAACCATTTTTTTAACATTGATTTTTTTCAAAATTTGTAAGTTTCCAAAATCTCCTACAGTATATCCCCGGATTGTCTTTTCAAGAAGAACAACTTCTTTATTATTGATATTTTGAGAAAAATGCATTCTTCATAAAAAAATTTGCTTGTTCTAAAATAGTTAATCCCGTTTATACTAATTAATCCCTTTTATACTATATAAAATAGATTTGATTGTCTAATGTTATTCGTATCTTGTCCTGGCCGGTTAAAAGATGCCCAAACCGTATTTTTATCATATCTCAATTTTTTCAAATGGAACGAGGGTGACTCTTTAGCATATTTGAAAAAAGCATTTTTTACGAATAATTTGGTACCACACACTTGGTATTTCGAGTCAAATTGTCGTAATGAATCGCATATTGCAATTTCAAATAAACCATATTCGAAAATGTCAAAAGTTGACATATGATATGTCATTCTATTCGGAGTGTCATTTTTTATCGAATAAAGTAACAAAACACCGAGGCAAATCAAAAGTTATAGTCAATTGAATACGTAATCAAGCCTAATTTATGTCATATACTAACATACGAAATCTCGTTTTTTTTATCTGAAAAAATAAAAAAGTTATAGGGGGTGAGCAATTTTTGAGACGCACCCGGTAGATTGTAATTGATAGAATTTTAATTAACGTCATATTTTTCGCTGTTTGCAAAAATTTATTTGGTTCAATGCTATGGAAAGGTGATAATAGTTATCGAAAAATGTGATACTTTAACAGCACAAAATACAACCTCAATCAAAATTAATAACAATCATCTATCAAAGAATGAAATCTAAATTACCATATTAACGCCTTTTGATTTTTAAGACTTAGGAAAAAATTCAACCATATTTTGATATTTTTTTATTTTCTCTAAAACCGTATAGAAACTTGGAAAAGTATAAACAGTTTTAACTATTTTAGAATAAAGAAAAAATCCTCTTGTAAAGACAATCCGGGGACATACTGTATACAGGATTACAATTTAAAAAGTAACAGTCGTGAATATCTCGTAGATATCTTAATATCAAAATAAAACTTGCAATATACCAGGGCGGTTCGAAAACTATATAAGAAAATTACGAATACTTACCTGTATCACATATATATTATAACATAGTATACAGAGAAATAAAAATAAAATAAAAATGTTAGTTAATATCGACCAAACGTTTTTCTATTATTAAAGTTTCTAACATGCATTTGGTATGACTTACGATTGGTTCCGCTCGGGAGCATAGGACCATTTGTGGTTGAGTTGGACGTTCGCCCCAAACCAACACCTGTCCTTGACCTAGATCCCCTAGGTCTTCCTCGCCGAGTCAACCCTCTACCGGCAGGTCTGGGCCGTACTGTAGACCCGTACACGTTGTAAACAGTATATTCTGTAAAGAAAAACAAAAACGTTTAGTTAGAGTGTCGAAAGAACCTTTTATTTAATAATATCAGATGAATAAAATTGAATTATCAAAATCTAAAGACAAAATTTTTCTTGTCTACAATTCAAAGTATCAACCATCGCCGAAGTCAAACTTTCACGTATGATGATGGGAACTTTATTTGTAAAACTGTATAGAAATGTTCTTTCTGTATATCTTGGGGGCGTTTTATATGAGATATGCTGTATTTTTGCTGAATAAGAATAACGAGCGTCTTACTATTTGTGATAGGAGAGTCGTCATCGTTCATGATATCGGGTTCTTCTATTTGGGCGTCTGGTTCAATTTCACTGGCTGGGCTGTGGATGGGCTCTTCGCCGACTTCGTGGTTCCCACTGGGTGGATCCATACGCGCTCTCTTAGCGTCGGCGGCAGGTATAGTCTAGAAATTAACGACCAAAAACCTGTAATTGGCAATTAAAATCCAACGACTGGACTGCTTCTTACCTTAAAAGCTAATTTGCGTTTTTTCTCGTCCCTCGTTTCCTCTGTCGTAGATTTGTTTTCCACTTTTAGGTGATCTAAAATGGATTATTTATTCATTAATATATTACTTCCCGAAGACGGGGATAGAGACAGCTTACATTTCTGAACTAATTCGTCGTCGTCAAGAAGAAGAGATACCACTTCTTTGGGCTTTAGCGTGTCTGGTTTGAAGTTTCCACCGCTTATAACCAGTTTTTGTATCTGCAAATTTCACATCGCTAATTTATACAATGCGATCGAATCGAAAAATCATTCACAACTACGTTAAAATACGGCGCTTTTCACACAAACCGATATAAAATGATAAATCAATTAATACAGAAGTATTTAACAATAATTTACAGTTTAATTTACAAAAAAAAAATCTAAAATAATATTTTTACACCACCCAATAAAATAGTATTATTTTTATACCACCCAAACATTTTGGTTTAAATATTCTACACCTAAATTTATCCATCTTTGAAATATTTTCAGTTTCACGAAAAAATTTTCAACATATTTGTGTTTTTTAATTTTTTTATAATAATTCATTTAATATTATAGAAGGTTTTTACAAAAATAAGATAAAAATTAGAAGTAATTTTTTATAAATCAAAGCTTTATACAGGGTGAGTCTTAAATAAGTGCAAATATTTTTAGGGGCAGTATATTTTGACCCCAATAATACGATTGTTTTTTTTTCTTCCGAAAAAAAATTGGAATTTTTGTAGTTTTTAGTTAAAGAAACATAATTTCTTGATAATATGACAACATAGGTAGTAAATTAAATTTACAAGTTGGAAAACCTAGAAAAGATCCAGTGGTTCTGAAAATTTAAGCAATTTTTTTTTAAATTTTCAAAGTAAAATAACTCGGTTATTTTGGACTTATTTCAAAAATAGTAAAAAGAAAATATGTTTCTTTTATCGAGACCTATCAGTCCTGAAAATATTTGCACTTATTTAAGATTAACCCAGGGTATATACAGGGTGAGTCGCCGTCACATAACGAGTCATATACCGTCAGACATAATATTTTAAGTACATATTCACCGACTTACCTCACTCTTTTCCCTAGCTCTTTGTAGAATTCTTTCTTCAATGGAACCTTTGCAAATTAACCTATAAACAGTGACTTGCTTGGTCTGGCCCAATCTATGGGCACGATCCATAGCTTGCTGATCTACAGTAGGATTCCAGTCGCTGTCGTAGAATATTACCTTTAAACAAACAAGGAACACACTGCAAATATCTCTTATAACCTATAGTAGTAACTATACTTGTGTATTTTTGTAGTAAAAAGACACAAGATATTAAATGGAAAATAGTGCATTATTTTACTTCAGATGTGTATATATTGAAAATATTAAAAAATATATTATTTAAACATGTAATTTCTTAATATCTGAGATAAACTTATAAAAAACGATATAAGAAAGTAGAAGTAAAAAGCAAAAATTAAAAATGTTGTATAATGACTTCTTTAATTATATTTATTTATGATTATATTAGAAAATACATTAATTTTAGTAATTAAGATTCGCTTTTTACATATGCAATAACTAAAAGACCCAAGATAGTATAGAGAAAATAAACAAACTCTTATTTCAACTGTGCTTTATTTTACAGTCAGCTAGTGTTAATTTACTCAGATCTGCATGTGCTGATAATTATTATTTATTCTTAGTGCTTAATATTTAATAAATTAAAAAAAGCACACACAAGAAAGTAGTAGGAAAAAGCAAAATTTAAAATGTTATATAATGAAGTATATTACATACCAAATTAATTTTGGCAAATAAAAGTTTCGTTTTTTAACATATGCGTGACCTAGCTTTTTAAATGATTTTTTAGTAGCCACAACGTTACTGTAATTATTATAAGGAAATGTTCTTCCAGCTAACTATGTTACTAAGTTGTAACATTGTAACGTGTCTCTAATATAAATAGGAGAAGCATAAGCTTCTGAATATGTTAAGCGGTAATATTCTGAGAATATATTGAATTTTAATACGGCGGTACGTGAGATGGCCGTGTGAAATTTTCTTTCTGCCAATCGTCAAATATTAATGAGCCTCACATTAATTGCCAATTAAGTTTATCGTAAAATTATTGTTATATATTGTGCCACCGAAGCGAATTTTCTCATCTTTTTATTAATAATTATCCCCGATACCGATCAACAACGGATAAACCACATCCCGCTTAACTCCTCTCTTTATTTAGACAATTATATCCAGTAGCGCACATATTTTTTTAATTGCCTTATGCACCACTGTCAATATAAATTTATTTCAGAACCGTATAATCAGAAAAATATATAATGTTAGTAGTAGTAGTCCCCGAGAATCTATAATCATTGTCAGCAGAGAAAATATGCTGTTTTGTATCTGTTTTGAAACAGCTGTATCTTGATCTGCCTTCTCCAATTTATCTTCTACTTTCAAAGCTTCTAGTTATTTCCAAATTTCTCCCGAAAGTTCGATCTGCAGTAAGTATTTTTCACTTTGATATTAGATAATACTAATTTCATTCTCGACTTAATAATAATAATTATTCTGAACAATAATAACTGAAAATAATTCTGAACTAAAATAATAATTATTCTGAACAATAATGTATTATTTTATTAGGAGTGAAAATTATACTTTTTTTGACGAGGCTGTACCTTTGACGGACCAGCGTAAAGCTAGTCCAACATTACAGGGAGGCACAAAAAGTACATTTTTACTCCGAATAGAACATACTATTTTTTTTCAAACGTTACAAATAATTTTTTAATCAATTTTAAACGTGGCAATATCGAGCAACAATTTGTACACTCGTTGAATTTGACACTTAATATCAGTTTAATAATATATTTTTGTACTTTTGTGCTTAGGTGTAAAAGTGCTTTACGTTTATGCCTAATAGGCGTTAAAATGAAAAAAATAGTAATACTTTTGTGACGTTTGAAAAAAAAATATTTTCATCTAAGCGAGTGACTGTTTTGCGGAATATATTGGTGACCGATGGGGAAAAATTACACGCGCCGTAGAATTGTTAATGTTATCGTTATCGCACAAAGTTACGAAGATTTAGCCATTTAGGATAGGACTTATTGGAAATAAGTCATAATTATTTGGAAATCCGATTTAAATAATATTTTCTATTAAAATAAAAATAAAATCTGATTTTATTTTTTTTTAATCATTTTTGCCAATACTGTTTAGTATGTAGACATCTCAGAACACAAAATATCACAAAATCCTAATTTTAAATTTGCACTGGGACCCCTGGCCTATCGAGATTTCATTGTACGCGGAACAGGAAAATGCCATGTGGTTGTAAACGAATCCGTCGTTGTGCACGTGCAAACCAGGAAGTGATAACCACCCCGGGTTTTCCGGACTATTCAGATCGCAGAGGCATCATCCCCTTTCGTGTACGACGCCGATCTGAACCAATCGGGAGGATCTACTGTCACTTCAGGTTTTATTTGGACAACACCGCTCATTATCTTGATATTGGGGGTGGCGCACATTTAACTGGCCCTTATCCGATGCGGAGGCTCTTCAAGGCGGCCCCCTGTCCTGCCAAAGGGTGCTGTTAAGGTCTAGCGTTACTTGTGCACGTGCCCTGTTATGTCATCCACTAGTTCAAACAAAACGCTTGCGCGAGCGCGTTTTAAGTCACTTATAGCAGGGACCGTTACTATTTAAATTATTTTTTTCTGTAGAGACATTCGCGATAAACGTGGAATTTATTATCTGCAGAATACGCCGCCGAAGATTCCCGAATACAATTCGAACAGCCCTGTATATCATGATAGAGCAAGCTGTGTGTATCATGAAAATATTTATATGATATAGCAGAAAATATATTTTTAATTGTGCTATCCAATGTACCACATTATAATTGACGTAATTTAGCAACAGCAAACAACAAATAATGTCTGTAATAAATATAAGGAGTTCTAAAGCGAGCTGTACGGATATGCAAAGGAAAAAATGAACGCGAACATAAAGAAGTGAATGAATTTGTTGTGGAACTAACGGTGGATGCCCAATAAATCTTCAGGACAAATGGGTACTGGGCAGCAGCGGTGACTCGTGAATTTTTTTGATTGGAAACAGAAAAAAATAAAATAATGACAAATTTTCAATTCGTTTTAAAAGCTATTTATTACTTACGAGGGTTATCTTTTATATTTTGCATATATAAACATAGTAGGCGTCTGTAAACATATATCAAATATTAAAATTAACTATCATCTTTAGTTAACTTAATGCCAAAGTTTAAGGCCGCTTCAACTGAATTTTTGAAGTTGACGAGTCAGTTGAAAACTAGAATTATGTCGAGAAAATTTCCACACAAATTCTCCACACAGATCCCGACCTAAGTTTTTGTTCGAATATGTTCCGTCTTACGTGCCTGTAGCCACGCCCTATTATTAGACATATGTCATTCAGACATATTGGTGTTCTTGTCTATTATAAGTTATCAGCTGATATGTTTTGTTAATTTACTTTAACTTCAATATATAATTACAATATTTCACTTATTTCCTTCATTTAGTACATAAAATACCCTAAAACGTAAAACATGGCGCAGTCGTTAAGTACAAAAAAATACGTAAATGAAGGCAGTTAAAGTATTAAAGTATCGCTCACAAAAATATCAAGAATTAAGTATAAATGTCTTAAGTATAATTTTACAATGTGACGCATCTAAAAACGGTTTAGGGTGTTGTATGTTTCAACAATATGAAAATAATGTATTTAAATTAGTTAGTTGTGCATCACGTATGATGAATGAACACAAAGTTAATTATAGTCAAACCGATAAAGACCTTTTAGCCATTTATTTCCACTTACTACATAAAATACCCCAAAACGTAAACAGTTCTAACGACTTTTTTTACTTTTCCAAAAATTAAGAATGAACTGCGTGGTCAAATGTTCCAGTCCCCAGAAGATGCAGTCAGCGCCTTCAAAAACACAATTTTGAAGGTACCAACAAGCGAGTGAAATAACTACTTTCAGAATTGGTTCCAACGGATGCAAAATTGCATTTCTCTTCGTGGAGAATACTTAGAAAAAATATGATGTTCAAAAGTTATGTACTGTTTTTATCTACCTCTATATGCAAAATATAAAAGACAACACTCGTATTATTTATAAGTATCTTTATATTATTATATAATAACGGAAGAAAACAAATGGTAAATAATTTATAAAATCAAGAGATGACGTTTCGTCTACATAAATCATGATTAACAAAGAATCCACTTTGTCTCTGACATAGTTATCCTTAACAAGACATATCTTTTACAGCCAGAGTATTAGGAAATTGAAAATGACGTTGATATAATAACTTATCCGCTGGATATAATATAAAATAAGTATATTTAGGCAACCTTGTGCCCCATATATCCAGCCACCACTGGTAGGTAGGCAGGTAGCTCGCGGGTCCCGATTATGAGAACAATCCGAAGAAAAAAAAAGAAATTAAAATAGATGCGATAACATTATTTGCATACCGTGGTCTGCCTTTCGGCCAGTTTTTGTCCCAACTTTTGTATTCTCCGTGACGCTACCTGTTAATGGACGGTCTGTGGCCGCGGAATGCTCTGACGTATGCCGATTGCCGTGGATTCGCTGAGAACTTTTCAGCGTGATTCTCTCAGCATGTTTGTCGAAGTACGTGGACGTTGCATCCGTTATGCGACGGCCAGATCAAACTGCACGAGCGGATTCGTTTAGGACCAGCCACCCACCTTACGCGGAGATCAGTGACTAGTAGAGTCTCATCAAACTACTGCAACTTCTCTAGACTTAAATTGGAAGTTGAGTGTGTCAAAGGACAAGCACAATATACCGGGTGTTGCATCGTCGTTGGAAACATAGGAAATCCAATGCAAATTTTGAACTGTCCAAATATTGGCTCCCCTATTAATTTTACAGCTAATCGTAAATAAGTTTTTTAAAGGTCTGCTTATGCTGAATACACATGCCAAATTTGAATAATTTTGGACAAGCTGGTTTTAAGTAATTTAAGAAAAACTGCATCTATTTTTAAATTATAATGAATGAACAGGTAATAATGCAAAACCAGTCAAATGTCAACATACCTTAATTTGTCAACCTAAGATTTTATCACTGTCAGATATAATCTGTTGTCTACACTACTACGTTATGCAAAACAAAACTTTAAGAACTACTAGGACGAAACAACAAATAACTGCAAACAGATTGCAGAAACTTTGCCTTATAAGAAAACCACAATAACATTCTTGGAGGTGTGAAAATGTAAAAAAAGAAATTGTAAATTGTGTGTGAAATAACATTCTTGGAGGCGGGAAACCAATGAGATTTGCACAAAATTCTGCAGCAGAAAAAACAGCTTTCAATTTTAATTTAAAACAACTCACATTGGTTCTTTGAAGTGTCAACAAGTGTAGCCAGTTGTTACTATAATTTGTGCATGTACTATGCGACTACCCGGAGTCTTTTCGTCAAGTCATCATAATTACTTACAAAAGTCATTCTCAATTTATATTTATTATTTTGTAAACGATAAAAAAATTTCTTTTTTTTTACGAATTTATAAATAAAAAGTATTATAACTTGAACGGGTCGTGCAGATTGACTGCGGCCCGGAATCGGCGTACTTATGAATTAAATCACCTATAACAATCGATAATTTGTTATAATGTCAATGCCGTTTGCTAGTGGTTATTTATTCATCTCAGGTTTATATTATACAAGAAAATGTGACATTATCGAAAAGGAGACAAGCATTCTTTTATTCCTGTTTATTGCAAAATAAACTATTTGCCATTCACATTGCGGGGTGAATAATGAGAAAACTTTTCACATTTAAAGGATGTTTCGAAATCGATGATTCCTAAGATTCTTTTCCAATAACCACAGATCGTATCTTGCTTCTCACACATGCAATATTCGTTCCTGTATAATATAAATTTTATTTTCCCAATCATATTAAGATTTTATCCACATTAATTCTACCTCGTCATATGTTGCGAAAATTCTCTAAGCTCGTAACTTTCATTAGTTCAACACAAGGAGTAGCTGTAATAAATTTATTATGGTTTCAACTCGGCTGTTTTATCAAAGACTTTGTAAAAACATTTAATAGCGACCTACTATGCATTACAACTAGCTATCTCAAAAAACCTATAATATATTTTTCTATCTTGTATATTTATTGTATTAGCTGTAGCACAACCTTCGTGAAAATAAAGGCTCGGACAACGCATTTGACGTCATGAAAGTAGTCAGATTGCTTATTAAGTGGTATATGACTTAAATAAATCGTCGCTGGCATATCAAACCGGCATATCTGCAAAAATCATATTTTTCACCAGAGCGCTTTAAAGTTTATGCATGTGATATTTTTCTTTTAACGTCCGTTTTTTTTTATTTTTTTTTATTAACGATTTTTATTGAAGTACTTATACGATATGCCGGTTCGATGTATAAATGACGGGAAAAAATGAAATTTTTTACACCAACACTAAAACTCAATTTTTGCACAATGTACAATTATTGTTTCCATGTCATGAAAAAGCTGTTAAAGTTAACGTACTTTCTTTTTGGATTACCTACAGATACTGGATTTTTAAATTCACTGTACTAAACAAGTAGAATATCGGGGTAAAATTAATTATTTTAATTAACAAATAAATGTGTAACTAAAATTAAACGCCCATTTAAACACATTGTAGCTACACACTGTAGCCAAAGAGTAGATAAGACAAGAGACGACAGTTCGCGCGGTACCTTTCATGTTTGAGTGGTGGGGAGAGTGACCTCGTCTCGCTTGTCCCTTTAAATTTTCGTAACTTTTTCGCGGGAAATTTGAAATAGACTATTATTAAAATTTGCCTGTATAGCTTATAAATAGTTACTGTGTGGGTAAAGAGATAAATAGAAACGAAAAAAAATGAGTTTTCTAAATATTATATAAAATAAATTATAATTAGAAACATATTTGTCGGGGAATAAAGATAATAAAAGCAATATTTTGTATATCGTTGGTAAACAAGAGAAAGTGACCAAGTCGATTTGTAAGAAATGTTTTATTTACGTGTATTTTTTTTACATATGGACTTGAACAAGTGTAATATCACAATGTGGAGTTTATGTACAAAAAAATAGAGTTGCTCAATTTTTATTTAATAAATCCTCGCAATTACAAGCTTCTAACCATGTCTTCGATCTATGGATTACATTTAGTTTAATAACATAATTATATAGTATATTTCTATAAAAATACTTTTCAGGATCCTTTGGAAAAGAGTGAAATATTATGTTTGTCGAAGAACAAGACCTATTTTTGCAGTCTTTATAAGCACACACAATGCCACCATCTCGTCTTTTCCTGCTACTCGTGTCCTGTTCAGTATTCATATTTAACAATAATTACAAATTAGAACGCAATAAAAACGATACTAAAATTAAACCTTAAAAACTCTCAAAACGATAATATATCGAAAAACTCTGAAAACACACTTTAAAAAGGCAAAAATGCAAGAAAACAACTAATCAGATTTGTTTATGTTTAAGCCTGATTAGCACAGCTGATTAGCGTCCTAAAATCTTAGGTTCGAATAAATAAAATGCGCAGTTGTCAGATTTTCAGATTTTATCTGTTTATCTTTGAAATCGACCAACTTTAGTCATTCTGTTTCTTTGATATTATCAGTACATTGCGAAAAAAGAACCTAAACCAACCTAAACTAAAAATTTACATTTCCGTATTAACATACGTTACTTTATATCCTTCTTATATTATTAATTTATTTTCAGAAAATCTTGTTTATTTTTCAAAGAAATATACTTGGCAACAGACAAAATGGGACTTGATGGGACCTTTAAATTTTAATATATCTGCATCTCTCTCGCGAAATTCGACTTCTTTGTTCACTGTCGTCTCTTGTCTTATCTACTCTTTGCTGTAGCTATGTTACATTAAAAAAGTATGGGGATTAAAAAGGAGAAATAGAGACTTTAATTTTATAATAGATATTTCATTAACTTAACCAGCACCGTTCACAAAAAAATTGAATTTTATTTGTCACTTACTGTATCTGCTGCAGTTAGATTAATTCCCAAGCCTCCAGCTCTTGTAGACAATAAGAAAACAAAGATATCTGTTCTAGCCTGAAAGTCTGCAACCATATCCCTTCGTTCAGATATTTTTGAAGAGCCATCTAACCTCATATATTTATGATGCCTGTGCCACATGTATTCCTTAAATTATATCAACATTAATAATAGTCTTAGTCAGGGAAATTAAAACCTACTTCTAGTAAATCAATCATTTTGGTCATCTGAGAATAAATAAGTACTCTGTGACCTTCCTCTTTAAGTTTCTTCAGTAGACAGTCAAGAACAAATAACTTTCCAGAATCAGTAACCAAGCTCTCTTTATCTGGAATTGCTATGTTTGACCAACCATGCACTGGCATTACAGTTTCTAAACAACTAGATGGGACAGGGCATATACTTTCTGATGATCTAGCTCTGAATATATTTCCTGTTGCCTCAGACCAACAATAATTTAAAGAGTTAAAACTATAATCATCTATATGTCTTTGTAAATTCCAAGCAGCTCTTCTTGAATAACAATATATACTAAGTCTTGGTGCTGATACCTAATAAAAAAAAAGAAATATCACTTTAGTGTCTACATGTAGATAATTAAAACTCACTTTTGGTATACTAAAAAATAAATAGGAAGGTAGTTCAGTCTTTTCACATGGGAACTCCTTAGGAGATCGTTTAATATGTGGAAATTCGCAAATATTTGGATTATTTACATTTTCTACATGCACATTATCATTCTCATTTAACTTATACTTTTTAAATCTTATATTTCTATGTTCTAGCGTTTCTGGCATTGAATGATAAGTGTGCTTTTGATATGTGTAGACCACTTTTTTGCCAGTGAGTTTTCTAACAAACAGCAAATCTTCTAGAACGTTACTACTTTCAACCTGTCCTTGGTTAAGTCTAAAAGTATGTTTCAAATCTAAACTGGGCTTTGAATATAATTCAGAGTGCCATAGGGTCCGTTCAAAAATTATTTTCTGTCGTTTTTGAAAATTATAATAACTTTTCCACCTCGCTATAATATCTCCCAAAAAAATCTTAAAAATTTCGTCAACAGACAAACCTATATGTACCATGAAGTTAAATATTGAATTTTTAGACCAGCAAGCTTCATATATGTATTTTGGTGTAAAACATAGCTGCTTATTTAACTTGAAATATAATTTCTGTCTCACATTGGCGTCATATATTAAATAAGGAATATTATAAATTATTGGATAAATTCTTAATGGTGACTTGGCATCTCTTCTTTCAAACAGCTCTGGATGGTTACATACCTTAGAAAGAGAAACCCTTGAAATATCAATATATTTGTGTTTAAGTTAATTATACTCACTTTCCTAAACTGCATAACTAGATTCATGAGGTTTGATGTAAAATTTTTATCTACATTATGAGAATCCCCTCCTCCAACAGAGTAATGAAGTAAATCTTCAATTTTTATTTTTTGTTTTAAAGCTAAATATAACAAATTTTGTCTTGTTGTTAAAGGACAATACACCATTACTTCTATTTTGTCAGAAAGCTCATTTTCCACATCTTTCTTTATTCTCCTTAACATAAATGGTTTTAAAATCATATGAAGTCTTGATAAATGCTCTAAAAATATTAATTAATGTATTCAAACGGAACAAAATAGTTTTAACAAGTTTATACTTTCATCGATGCCTGTTTTATTTTCAGCATGACTTTCAATGTCCTTTGAAAACCACTCATTGAATTCATCATGGGAGTCAAAAAGTGTTGGCATGATAAAATGGAGTAAGGCCCATAGCTCTGCCATGCTATTCTGTATTGGAGTACCACTGAGGAGAAGCCTGTTTCTACAACTGAATCCCAAAAGAGTTTTCCATCTCATGGAACTTGTACTTTTTATAGCTTGAGCCTCATCTAAGATCATGTACTGCCACTTTATTCTGTTGAAGTATTTAATATCAGTAATAACAATCTAAAAATAAGTAGGTTTTAGCTACTGAAGGAAGGAAACAGGTAAGTGATAGTTACTTGATAAGATGTAATCACAATATGAAAACTGGCATCTTTGGTATAAATATCTTTCTGATCCCAGAACTGCCTTAAAATTTTTCTTTCATTTGGATTTCCCCAATAAGGAACTACTTTAAAATCTGGAACAAATTTAGCTATTTCTTGTTGCCAATTGTGTAAAGTAGAAGCAGGTGAAATAATTAAAAAAGGACCCCAAACAGCTAAAAATTAGTTTTAAATTATAATGAGTTCTAGAAAACAAAGTTGTTACATACAGTATTTTTCTGCAATATGACACAGAAAGGCAATGCTCTGTACTGTTTTGCCCAAACCCATCTCATCTGCTAAAATACCACTAATACCCTGGGAATAAAGGTTTGCTAACCAATTCATTCCTTTTAGTTGATAACCTTTTAACTTTCCCTTAAACATATTGGGTTGTGGTTGTTCACCATCTATATTTTCAACTTCAGTAAGATAAGAGTTTGCTTGTTGATCAAAATTTCTTGTTCGGGCCTTTTCACTCTGGAAAGCATCTTGGGCATTCTTTCTAGCTTTCTCTTTCATTGTCTCACAATCATAGTCATCACCAGCTAATTTAGCAATTTTCTCCTCATCCAACTGGCTAAGGATACGCAGTTGTTCTTCTGCAGAGGCTGTCCCTAATTTCTTTGACATAAAATGAGCATATAATTCTGTCTGTGTAATAAGAAAGTTCAGTTTTCTTTGTTGTCTCTTAGCTTCTATTAACTCATGATCCATTTTTCTTTGTTCCTCAGCTTCTTTTTCAAGTCTCTTTTTAACTTCTCTATCAAAGCGCCTCGACCTCTTCCAATAAGCTATGTTTTCTCTTGCTAACCTCTTCATTCTCCATTGCTGTTCTTTTACAGTCCTGGCAGACTGAAGCTAAAAAGACATTAATTAAAAAAAAAATACTTATAATAATTATGAAACTTATAAAACACTACTTACAGCTTTTTGCCTTGCATACTTAACACAATGAGACGCAACTCTCTTACACTGAAGTAACATTTCCTTATGTTTATTGCTTTTAGCTCGATGTTGCTTGCCAATTTCTTTTTTAGCTATATTAATGAACATTTTTCTTCTTTTAACAGTCATCATTTCTTCCCATTTACGTTTAGATTCATCATCCTTAAATTTTTTATTTTTTCTTTTTGATGAGTTATGATTTAGTGAATTCATTGGAGGAGGGATGGGAATTATTTGTGCTGGTATATTAGACTGGGAATAGTCTGAATTAACATTATTATCTTCAATATCACCATCTAAATTCGGATATTCATTTATACCATTTTCAAGATTAAGATTAATGCAAGGCTCATCCTAGAAATATTGTAAATGCAAAAATTATTCATAGATAAAAGTAAAATAATACCGAAATATCATCTAAAATATCTGGATCGTACAGAGGAGATTTTGCATCTTCCTTCAAAGAAGACAATTTTACCTTCCTCATAGATGAAGGGATATTTCTCTCAATATCTGGATAATGATCCACAGCACTAATTAAACCTGCTCCATAAAACATTGACTGATCAAAATTCTATAAAAGAGTATCAAATTTATAATATATACATAATAAATTTAAGTTCTTATTTACCATTTTACTTTTCCTAACTCTTTTTTGAAAGGCATGCATTTTTAATAAACATTTATAAGGTGCATCTTCAGGGCCAGTATCAATATTTTCTGATAACACATTAGTTAACCATTTGCGTGAAGAGAGAGACGATACATTTTTAAAATTATAATAATCTTTTGCTGAATGTGGTTCATCTTTTAACAAGCTGTCTATGCCTTCAAAATCATCTTCGTCATCACTACTTTCACTGTCACTACTCGGTGATGAATTATTAAATGTTCTCAAGAATGGATCTAAATTCAACGCCTGTTCAACTCTCCTAATGTGTATAGGTTTTGAAGTACTCGGTTGGCAGTCAGATAGTTTTGCACCCAAGTTATTAGATCCTAAAATATTCACTCATAATCACAATGCCTTTTTAGAAAGTTTTACTATTAGAAAGAAATAATTAAAATTCCCTGCACAGCCATAAATAATCTAAACATAACATCAGAATATATTGTCATAAATAAACACTGCTAAAAACTGTTAATACCCCATTTGTTTTAGATATACCTATACTTACCATGAATTGGCTTTAGAGTTGTCATATTATTTATAATATTATTTTTTACATTATTTGCCATCTTATATATTTTTAAATCTTCATCTAAGGCTATTATGCAACGAAAATTTACGTTTAATAAAACATTTCATTAGAGTGTGACTTAAAACATTTTTCTAAAATATAACCTTAATTATTTTTGAAGCTTGACAGGGTAAAGGGAAAACAAACATTTCTTCTTCTTTTATAATTTCCAGCCACAATCCACAATGCACAAGAAAAATATAAAATTCTGTAAAACTTACTTGACCGAGAATATAAGCAAATGAACAATAGACTATTTACAAAAGTAAAAGCTCGATATACCAAAAGCTCTAGGTAAATAATTATTACAAATTAATAAATACTAATCTAATTATTACATATGATTTTTATATTTGGAATATTAACATTATTCCATGGTTAAAAATAAGGGATGGGTTTGTAAATGGTTTGTAACCAGGGATGGTGATTTAAGAATTTGACACAAAAGGAAAAGATTCATAGATTTATTTTTTAAATTTACTTCAATTTACTTATTACAATTCTATACACTTCCTTGGCGAAGTTTGTGGCGAAGATGTTACAATACCAGCCATGAAAAAGCTTGACAATTCTGAAAATAATGTGTACAAAACGGGATACTTATACCCAATATACCCATCATCTATCATAAATATAAAATTTGCACTCTTACCAGGAATAGAACTATCAAAATTTTGTATACTTTTCAAATGCTTTAAAAGATATTTAGAGTTCTGTACGAACTTTGATGTGTTCTTAATATAATCATCCAGAGAATTAAGCTCTTCATCTGCCTTACACATTTTATCTTGAGTAACTTCCTATAATAAAATCAAGATTTATTTCAGTTATTTCTTACGTAGTTGCATAGTCCATACTTCTAAATTATGAAACTTATTTTTGGTATTCATATTGTAAATATTAGTAGCCGACCTTTGTAAGGTCACCAATAATGGAGCACTTTCTTGCCCAACTGATATTACATTAGAGGATGTTCTACCATTTACTGTATCTATAGTAGTACTATTCAAATATGAGACGAGCTCATTTATGACTGTTGCGTTTTTTTCAAGAACACCTAAAATCAATACACTTAAGCATACCTTTTCAAACAAATAACTACTTACAATTGATATTGGTAACTTCATCTGATAATGTAAATTCACTTTGTATTGATGCAGATTTTTGGAGCTCACATAATTGCTCAAATTGGTCAACTAAATCTTGGCTTCGAGACATTTTTTTTATTTATCAATATGCCGTTACTGGTTTGAATTTTAAAATTATAGATGTGTGAGGTTCAAGTTAACGTCTCCTTTCTGCTGCAATGGCTAAACTGGACGGGACCTACTTTGTTTACGCGGAATCCGAACCGCGGTCCTCGGCCATATCATGGTCAATGGCCTACCGACTTAGGAAGTGTCTAAATTAACTCTACTCACGAGATATCCGATCTCATCGCCTCGAACCGGCGTGAATGAGCAGTGTGTATCAATAGATTTTACACTTTTCCCTTGGACAACAGCACGATGCAAAGTTTCGAACCGGTCACCCGTCCATCAACTAGCATCGCCTTACGTCGCTTAACTTCGGTGTTCTAATGAGAACCCGGGGTGCAACTTTGTTCATGTTTCAAAGCGATAGCAAAGTAATTTGTAGCTTGATGCACTATGTTCAGTAGCAACATCGATTCGTAGCGATATTCTGATTTCTCGCTTTGTGGCGAGGCGACAGTCTAGACACGTGTGCAAGAGTGTGATAGTGATACCATATTTCGCAGCATTTGAGCGACACTAGTTTTGCAATTAGAGGTGGGTTGTGAAATCGCAGTCCGCTACTTTGTCACAGCTCCACCAACGTCGCAGTATGTGACTGCTCCAGTTCCAAGAAAATCGCAGTGACATTTCGGAGCAGTTTACAAGTTTAGGACATCTGCGCTCGTGAGTAGCAATAGGAGCAATAGCAGGCAATAGTGTAAATTCTGAAAATGCTCCTAGCCCCGTCGCCCGGTCAGACTGTTCCAGTCACAGTCGTCGCAGGTCGCAGTCGACTGGAGCATAGTATATTGAGTATATTCTGTGTACTGGAGCTGTTGGGAGTTTGGGAACGGGAAACGTAGCAGCGTTCGCTTTTTCTTTCATGAATCTAAATAAGATATTTATGTATTATATATTAATCACAAACAGATGTTTTTGACAAAGGTAATTTTTAACTTGTTAGTATGTTTATTTGTTAGTTAATTTTGTATCTGTGTTTTGTTGTATATCCTAAATCTTTTATTTGATCTTATACATTCATATAAGTTTTATTATTTATATCTATTTTTAAGGTCTGATGATGGCTAAATAGCCGAAACCGGTCACTAATAAAGATTTTTTTGACAGTTTCGACTTTGAATTGAATATAACATTAAGTTTTTACCATGGGCCACCACTCTGTGAAAATGAACAGACTCTTTAAGATATTTATAGCAAAGTGCTTGGTACTTAGAAACACTCAAATTCTTCTGAATAGACTAAAAAAATATAGCAACATCTATCAAACTAAGACATCAGTATAGTACCGTACAGCCGCGATTTTAAGAGCTCTAGGGGCCCGTAGTTCGGAAAAGTTCGAATCTTGTTCGCAAGGGCCCGGGAGGCTTGGGGCCCGTCGGTGACTTACCCCGATTGCACAGACGTTAAAATCGCCACTACTGATCGAAATAAAAAACGGCGTCCAGTTGGCTTGGAAATGACAATCGATAACATTCCCCATAAATTTTACATATAAAATGCCAGCAATCTTCATTTCATAGCTATCGCTGACGCCGTTTTTCGATCATACGATATAAATAAATAAAAACTAGACGATGATGTTGCCTATCATAATCACACCTATAGTCCTGTACTTTTTAGTAAATGCAACGAACGGTGCCGAACATTGAGTGCGATTTTTCGGAGCAATTAACCTATAAAACTACATTTTTAATTTATAGGTTAATTGCTCCGAAAAATCGCTGCTACTTGTCACAGTGCTTTTATTGGAGCAGTCGCAGAGCGTAGCAGCTCCACAAAAATCGCAGACTGGCCCACCTCTATTTGCAATGAACATAGTATCGATCTGGTTTCGACATCGATTCTAAACGATCGGTTGCTAACTTGAACAAAGTCGCACCCCCGGTGTTTCGACGTAGCTGGGCCGTTGCCCAAATTATAGATTGTTTATCTTTGTTCTTCTTCTTAAAAACTATGGCCCCGTTTTTTTCAATGACAGTATAAATCAATTTACTTTCTGTGGTTACTGATCCATAGATGCCCGATGAATAATTACAATCACATGGGTTCTGTGGTTTCAACAGATCAAAGTGACAGTGACGGTAGAAAAACATTCCTTGAATAATTTTGATTTTCATTCCATATGTTTTGAAAAACTTTAAAAGAACCATGACATCAGTAGACGAATTAAGACAAAAAATTGCTGAACTAGAAGCAAAACTCGCTAACGTTTCTAAAAAGAATGCACCTAGACGTGAAAAAATCGTTACTATTTCATCTGATGTTCTTGATTCAAATCCCTACAGGTCAGAAACCCATTACACTTAAACAATGTTTTCTTAATTTTTATGTCATTTTTTAGTCGATTAATGGCTTTAAAGCGAATGGGAATAGTCAATAATTATGAGCAAATCAGAGAATTTACGGTAGCGGTTGTCGGTGTCGGGGGCGTAGGAAGTGTAACAGCAGAAATGTTAACTCGTTGCGGCATTGGACGACTTTTATTATTTGACTATGATAAAGTGGAATTAGCAAATATGAATAGGTTATTTTTTCAACCACATCAGTCAGGTTTAAGTAAAGTACAGGCAGCTGCTGAAACGTTAATAAATATCAATCCCGATGTTGATATTCATACATACAATTACAACATTACAACAGTGGAGAATTTTGATAATTTTGTCAAAACTTTAACGTAAGTCTCCTTAATATTAATTTACATTTGTGAAACTAATAAAACTTCTTGTAGTACTTCAAGTTTAACAAATGGTCCTGTCGATTTAGTTTTAAGTTGTGTAGACAACTTTGAAGCAAGGTTTACCATAAATACTGCTTGCAATGAATTCAACCTGAATTGGTTTGAATCAGGAGTTTCAGAAAATGCTGTGTCTGGCCATATTCAATTTTTAGCACCAGGGGAAACAGCTTGTTTTGCTGTATTAATTTATAAAGGTAGAATTTATTGTCCTATTTAATATGTCAAATTTTTAGTGTGCTCCTCCATTAATTGTTGCATCTAATATTGATGAAAAGACTCTTAAAAGAGATGGTGTATGTGCTGCCAGTCTTCCCACTACAATGGGTATAATAGCAGGATTTTTAGTTCAAAATACACTAAAGTATCTGCTGCAATTTGGCCAAGTAACAAATTATTTAGGGTATAATGCACTCAATGATTTTTTTCCTACAATGAGCCTACGCCCTAATCCAAATTGTGAAGACAGTAACTGTAGGTTACGGCAAGCAGAATTTTTGGCCAAACCAAGGCCTGAGCAAGCTCAAGAGGCTGTTGAAGATGTGGGGCCCATACATGAATCAAATGAATATGGTATTTCTTTGATAGATGAAAGTAAAGACGAAAAAGAAAATATAGCTGTCGCTGAAGGGTTAGCTCTAGCTTATACTGTACCTGGTGTGCCAGATACAATTCCTTTGGAACAAGCTCAAGAAGCCACTAACAGTGATGATGTTAGCTTAGAAGAATTAATGAAGCAAATGAAAGCTATATAAAGCTTTGTTTCTTAAAAGTATTATTAGGTAACTCATTTTATATGTATTTTTTCTGTTAAATTTTAACTATATGTTGTTGCTTTTATTAAATCTTTTTATATATTGAAATATTAAAAAAAAAAAAAACATTTTTTGTACCTATTTTTTTATTTTTTACTATATATAAAAATATTTTACAAAATGTAGGTTTGACAGTAAATAGTTATGTGACTAGATTTATTTCATCAGGATCCCATGTTTTTCTTAATATTTATTTTTTTTAATATTCCCATAATATGAAAAATAATGAATATGATAAAAATACAATATAAAAAATGAAATAAATTAGAGAGAAAACTGTCAGATACCCAAGAGTAAATACTACTTATTTGGTACAGGGCTACTATGATAAGCCCATATTTTCAGCCTTGATGGCAAGCAAAAAGTTTATAAATAAAGAAAATGTAAATATACATTTTTAAAAGAGATCCCCCAAACACAGATAAATTAACTAGAAAGTAATTAAATTATCTATTGCTAGGTTATTAGTTTCATTTGATGTAGAAACTACTTCTCTTGAAGCACAGTGAGTAGTCGAATTTTGAAACAAAGTGTTTGTCTCAATGTGGCTATAAAATGTTGATTTTGTACTTTTAGTTTTTTTCTTTTTTATTTCCACCTTCATTGTTGAGGTTGTTGATACATTATTGTCTTTTAAGTATTCTAACACAGGATCATTTCCAGCTTTCATGTCTATTTTAGTTTTTAAAATTAAATATTGTGATCTCCAGTACTCATATGAGGCAGTTTTCAAAGCTGATACCCATTTACTCACATCCCTGTCACAACGGCACGAAAATATATGCTTAGCTTCAGTATCTTTGAATTTGTCATTTACTTTAAATGTTATAGAAAATGCAAAGGGTATACCTTTATGGGGGCGTTCATAAGCAATCTGAGCATTTTCCAAAACAAGTACTCCTAATGGCTCCACTTCATTATTTGTTCTATAATAATAAAGTAAATTAGCTATAAGCTTGAAATATCTTTCCTTAAATGAGGGCTGCTGATACCAATCTGACCATTCATTCCCTTGTGGTTTCATATGATGCAAAACACCTTCAAGATCGGGTTTACTTTCACTAACTGTAACTAATTCCTTGTCATTATATCTCATCTTGTTTAAATATTATATTTGATGAATATTCTCAAGTTACAGAACAGTTATAACAAAACTGAGTAAAAAGGAATATAAATAAAACGAGAAAACGGGAGGAAATGGGAAATATTTCCCCCTTTCATCCCAGCTGGTTTATATTTATCTTATTCATTTTAGATGCTCAAAGTGATCTAAGATCAGTAAGAACAGATCACGCAAAGTCCATTTAAAAAAATATAAAATATTCCACACAACTATGTTGTACTATCCTTTTTCATATTGTAAAATTTTTAATTTGCTCTCTTTGTTTTTTTTTCAAGGCCGTTAGGCGGGGAGTGCTCAACAAGGATACAAAATATTAAGATCGTACGGCGACAGAGACGGAAGAAAGACAAAAGTCGTTATATGTTGACGTCATACCTGGGGGTTATACCATAGAGCAAGTAATAAAATGTTGACTTTTTATTATCTTTCTCTATAGGTTATACCGGTTTACAGAGAAGTGTGTGCCCTTAGATTAAGAATAAAATTTATACCCAGTTCCCCAGTTATAGCGAAGATTGAAAAAAACGGCGTGCAGTTGGCTTGGAAACAGAAAACAGAATGGAAAATGGAAACTGAGCTTGGAAATGACGATCAATGACTTACATATAAAATGACAGCGGTCTTAATTTTTTCATAGCCACCGGTGATCGTTTTTTTTTCGATCATACGGTAGCCCATGTAGAGTTCTATATAAAAATAGTATACACAGAAGTTAAAGGCTTCTCTTATTCCCCAACCCAACCACTTATTCTACGCCTTAACCCCTACAGCAATGCGAATTTCTGCATTACTTCATCATGCGAAGGAAACAACCAGACGCATTTTTTAAATGTAAAACTCGATCAATTCTCACTTGTATGGACGATTAGATAACTGGTAGTTTAATAATGATTTTTTTTCTTTAATTTTGAGTCTAAATAGACATTTTTTCCAAGATTAAATGAATTACCACTTAATCTTGGAAAAAATACTGTTTTAGACATAGGGTATAATAAATGCCATTAGACATACGCCCTTAAAAAATAATATAATTAATATTTTTGACTGTTTAGTGTATAAATTGATAGTCAATTATTTAATTATGTGATTTACTTATTAACAAAAATATTTGTTTGTTGTATCTGTTAGAATCGTTAGTAAAATTTGTCATCTAAAATAATTAACATTAATCTGGTACGTTGAAGGACAAGGTCAAAATCAAGCTTGTCATTTATTGATTTTTAAATTAAGGGTAGTACAAGAGTTATATTTAGCACGAGGTGAAAGAAAATATTTAGAAGCAGAGAGCGAAATATTAAATAAATTAAATATACACCTATGATATTCACACACACAGAAATAAAATGATTGTTAAATTTTTAATCTAAGATATAAGAAAATAGTGAAAATAGTATAAACGATAGCATGTGTGAATATAAAAATAATTAGATATATCTAGAGAAAGTACTTATACCAATAATTTTCTAAAAATGTAAAATTATTTATGCATCTACCCATGATTTTTTTAAATAAAAATATGAAATATTTTTTTTAAGTTAAATTTTGGTTAAATATACATCAAAATAAGGGAGAATGTAGGGTTGCAATCTATGGTTGCCATCATGTTGCCATCTTATTCAATATCATATTAAAAGCTTCTTTCGTAAATTCCTAAGCTTTTTTTAAATAGTGTCAGGGTAATCGGCAAGTTCCAACCCGAATATTCGGAACGCACTGTTCGTTTCAAAATCGAAAGTGGCTCCCTCTGTCTTGTGTCTTAATAGAGTTGCCGGTTCGTTTTGTCAGTGCTCAGCGAATTAGTGGTGAAAAAGCAAGCAAAGGAAGTGAAAACTAATAAGTAAGCATATCTCATTTTGTAGTTTATAGATGTAGCATTGTTTTGAATAGTAATTCCCGAAGGAAAATCCACGGGAACTGGTTAATTTTAAAGTATATAAATAGGCGTATCGTCGCCATATTTGCGTATCGTGCATGTCGGTTTCTCGACCCCGCTACCCCGCATCGATCTGACCGTCTTCGTAGTCGTGTTCTAGTCCTTGTCGTACATGCTTGTTTGAGTGTACAATCGGCATCGGCTGCCAAAAAACTGTTATTTTCCAGAACTGATTTGTAAGTTTGTTGATAGTTAGTTTATAGTGTGTTCTATTAATTTTTTCCTTTTGCCGGTTAACTTCTACATAAGTTTTAAAAGTCGTTTTTCAAAAATCTATTTGACCTTCAAGTTTAGGTGCGCAAACGGTGCGGTATCGGAACGTAGTTAGTGTATATTTGTTCTAAGGGGGTTAATTCTGATAATTAGTATTAGTCACGCAGGGCTGTTATATGAGTATTAGGGGTGACGTCAGTTGAATTCCTTGCGGATGGGTCACACGATGGACCGGGCAACCGGTCCCGGTCGGCTCGCTCCGGCCTATCTCGTCAAGGTGTGGTCGGCGCCATATTGCGTCTGTACCACCTCTATGGCTACTGCGCAGGACGTTATCGGCGCAGTAGTCATTGCCTCTATTTTTAGTTCTAGCGTCGCCACTGCCACTTACTTCGATTTTCTTGCAGATTAGAGTTAAGCAATCTACAATGTCTACTCCCGACAAAGATGAACTAGTCCAAAGGGCCAAATTGGCCGAACAAGCCGAACGGTATGATGATATGGCTTCGGCTATGAAGGCCGTAACAGAAACTGGGGTGGAGTTAAGCAACGAAGAGCGAAATTTGCTTTCTGTTGCGTACAAAAATGTTGTGGGTGCCCGGCGATCCTCGTGGAGGGTCATCTCTTCAATTGAGCAAAAGACTGAGGGTTCTGAGCGGAAACAACAGATGGCAAAAGAATATAGAGAAAAAGTAGAGAAAGAGCTTAGGGAGATATGCGACGACGTCTTAGTAAGTGTAGTATAAGGCCCCTTATTTAAATGACTTCTATTGCTTTCAAATGATGTTGAATATAACTTTCGTTCTTCCGAGATATTTTGAAGACACTTTTATTTACTGATTTTTCTTACCATTAGAATCTTAAAAAGTATAATGCTTATTAGATTGTAATAATTCCTTTTGTGTTGCAGGGTCTCCTTGATAAATATCTTATTCCAAAAGCGTCAAATGCCGAATCGAAAGTTTTTTATCTTAAAATGAAAGGCGATTACTACAGGTACCTCGCAGAAGTCGCGACGGGAGACACTAGAAATAGTAAGTAATAGGCGATTAAGTTTCTCTAGAGTAGCGTTTGTGCCGAGTCCCGCTCTGGACAAAATGTTCTCATTTTTGCCTTTTCAGCTGTCGTGGACTATTCCCAGAAGGCTTACCAGGATGCTTTTGAAATCTCAAAAGCCAAAATGACACCTACCCACCCCATCAGGCTGGGTTTAGCCCTCAACTTCTCCGTATTCTACTATGAAATACTAAATTCACCAGACAAAGCCTGTCAGTTAGCTAAACAGGTTAATACTACCCTCAATCTAAATTGTAGCGGGCAGAATTACGCGGCGACATCGGCACGCTCCGCCATAACCGTCAAATAATTTTTGTATTTGTTTTTCTCAGAGGTGGTGGAGGACTCCCAAAAGGCTTACCAAGAGGCCTTTGATATAGCCAAGTCCAAAATGCAGTCCACCCATCCCATCCGGCTGGGTCTGGCTCTAAATTTCTCCGTGTTTTACTACGAAATTATCAATTCCCCGGCTCGCGCCTGCCACTTGGCTAAACAGGTTTGTCGTGTGTGTCGTGTTTAACGCTAGTTCTGCCCGCACTAATATTTTGCCTGCTTCATTTCCTAACATATCTTTGTCGCAGGCTTTCGACGACGCCATAGCCGAGTTGGACACCCTAAATGAAGACTCCTACAAGGATAGTACCCTAATCATGCAGCTCCTCCGAGATAACCTCACATTATGGACGAGCGATACGCAGGTTAGTTAAAGTTTGGCGATTTTTCTCGTTCTCTGTTCTTAAACAGTCCTATGTTTGTTCCAGGGGGAGGCGGATGAGCCGCAGGAGACTGGAGATAACTGAAGTGTCAAGTCCCCCATTTTCAAACTATTCGTTATAAATGAAATTTCATGTAAGTTAACGTCTCCGTGGAACTTTATTGTGAAGTTTCATTGACAGTTTGTAAGTTTCTCGGCGATGAAACTTTTGATATTTAACAGTGTTTTTAGAAGATATGTAAAATCGTTAAATTAAATTTCACATTATCACACAACCGGGTAACTTCCACAAAACAACATTTAATACCATTACCTATTTGCTGACAGTTGTGTGATTGAATGTCAATTTCTTCATCTTTTATTATAATTGTTTTTATATTTAATTATTTTATATATTATATATATCCCTCCCCAAAAACGTGTAATTAATTTTGACGTTTTATTTTTCAAGCACAGTTTTTCAGTTCTAACTTGTTAACTATTAAAATTATTATTTAAAACGTTGTTTTAGTTTGTTTCTGTTTGTTTTTTCCATTACGTAAGTCCAAGTCATACCTGTTACCTCTATTTAAGTTGGTCATCGCTTTATTCTTACCTATCCACGTTTTTAAATTATTTTGCACTACGCGGTCCCAGTGGGTCCTTCCCCCTCCAACCCTATGTTCCAATTTCCGATCACTTTGGATGTGCTATATATAAATGTATGAATATGTATTTAAATAAACGCTACCAGCTCTATTTGTTTTCTGTTGTATCTGTCAAGTATATTTGTCAGATAAAAGAATAAATTTTTCAAAATCATTCCAACTTGTTTGTTATTTGGGGGTGGCCTTTTAGCGGGTCTGCGCCCTTCCCTACCCGTTTCCGCTATGTTTGCCGTTCTGCTGTAAATAAATGTTGTCTTAGTACAGTCAGAATTTGCTGTGTGTTGATCTTTTTTTTTATTTTTAGTTGTAAGTTAAAACAGAATCTAATTCCGGTTTGCAATTACATATTAAAGTTCTATTTTTTCTCTGCTACCTTGCATTTATTTATTTCGTTGATTTCCGTTTTCAAGGCACAAAAATTATGTTCTCCAAATTTTATATAAAAATGATACAGTTTGTTATTAGTAATAATAGAAAAGTAATTTTATTTTGTTATTTTTTATAACCCTTATTATATTAAAGAATTTCAATTTACTATGTTTTTTATTTATTACAGATAACACGCATATGATATTTATTTAACCGTAAATGTTCCTGTATCAGTAACTAATCAAATTTCTGTCGTGATAGTTAAAAATTGTATAGTGATTTTTTATCGGTGAATGCAACATATCAACTGATGAACAACAAGGTTTGATGTCACTTCAGACTGATAAATATTGTTTAATCAGTTTAAAACTACTTCTAGAATATTTCAACACTAAATTTTACTGAAGGGTCCAGGAGAAAAACGTGATTAGCCCTGGTTTCTTAATTTTAGAGTTTTACAATATTATACCGTATAATCGAAAAAAAGGCGTCCAATTGGCTAGGAAATGATCGATGACATTTCCCATAAAAAACGACAGCGATCTTCATTTCATAACCATCGCTGACGCGCTTATAAACTCTGCAGGACCACCAGCTGTTAAATCCTATGATATATGCCTAGTAAAAATACATACAGAGAAAGAACTTGATAACCACCAGCCGTCTAGGACTCCCTTAAAAGTAGTAAAATGGCGCTTATCCTGTTTTGCCCTGGACCCTTCAATAATAATTGTATATTGATGAACTTAATGCAGAAATTCGCATACTTGTAGGGGTTTAGTCCTTTTAACTTCTCTATACTAATAAATATAATATTTGTCTTTATGCAATTTTATATTACCCTTATTTATATAGTAAATGCATACACAAGAATATTACCTACTAATTACTATTGTGGGAACTTTATATTTTAATACATAAGGTGCATAGTGTAATAGACATTTCGGTAAATTATTTTATTTCTCACATAAATCAAAATTTTCTTCTAAATATAATTGTGTATAAACTAGTATATTTTAGTTACAAGAATGCCTATGATTTTATTTTATTAATAGACTGCAAAATGCATAATACTAAAGATCGATATCGATAATTCGATTGTTCTGCCCATTTCTGATATCACTCTCTTCGTACTTTTGTTTTATGTATAACAGAAAACAGAGGGCGACACTTGTGTGAAAAATTGTTTTGTAAAAAAAAATCTGGAAAACCGGAAATATTTACTTAAAATCCGAATTTGCACAACCAGTATAGCCTTATTCCTTATTAATCCAAGCGTTATATGGTTTACTATTTTCCATAGTTACTCGTAAAGTTCAATGGTCAGCAGTTGTTTAAAACCTGATTTCGTCGTAAAACTACGAGCTAATTAACCTTGCCTATAGCTTTTAATTTACCTTCATTAAAAAGGCAAATATTCCTTAAACAATTTAGTTTTGTTCAAAGCAGTTGATTTAACAGTCATGGTTCAGGTAGGTTATATTTATTTTAACAAAATTTAATTTTTAAAATGTGAAATTGTAGGTCGAAGTATTGACAACTACTAATAAACAAATAGGAACTATTACATTCGATGAAAATACAAAAGTAAAGGATATCAAAAAGCAGATTGCGAGTATTTACCCTAAACTTAACGTTGATCGACAGTCTATAAGATCTGAACCTAAAGGAAAAGATATTAATGATGATTTAACCATTCCATCAATAAGTAATGCCAGAAAAATATATGTAAAAGACTTAGGACCTCAAATTGGTTGGAAAACACTTTTCCTCCTTGAATACAGCGGTCCTCTATTAGTGTACGGATTGGTAGCTTTAAGGCCTTGGATACTCTACGGAGATAGGGCTCAAGGAACTTCTTTATCAACAACTGCAATGTATGTATACTATATGTATTAAGTACCTATTTAACACTTAACATTTTTTGCATTGTAGTATAGCTTTAGGCTGTTGGAGTGCGCATTATGTAAAAAGAATTCTTGAGACATTGTTTGTTCATCGTTTTTCTCATGGTACAATGCCAATAAGAAATTTTTTTAAGAATTGTGGTTACTATTGGGGATTTGCATTATATGTGGCCTATCATGTTAACCACCCACTTTTTACTCCACCACCGCTCTATTTTCAAATTTGTGGCTTGGCTTTATTTGCTGTAAGAGTTTTTTTTAACACAACTAAACTGAAATACCCATTTTTAATCTGCAATTCTTTTTTCAGGTATCTGAATTAGGAAATTTGAGTATTCATATACTTTTAAGAAATTTGAGACCTGAGGGTACAAAAGTACGGAAAATTCCTGTACCAAATGGCAATCCCCTGACTTTGCTGTATAATTTCGTATCTTGCCCTAATTACACTTACGAATTTGGAGCTTGGTTAGGTTTTACCATTTTAACTTCTTGCATTCCTGGTAAAATGAATATTGAAAACAGTTAGCAGTATTTTATGTATTTAATTTTTAGCTGGACTTTTTGGATTAGCTGGATTGTACCAAATGGCTGTTTGGGCTTTAGCAAAGCATAGAAATTATAAAAAGGAATTTCCAAATTATCCCAAAAATAGAAAAGCCATTTTGCCATTTGTATTATAAGTTTCGAAAATTTCTTTTTTTGCTATTTGGGGATTTTTTTATTATTGTGGTTTCATAATTGTTCTTATTGCAGCTTCGAATATAAAATAAAATAAAGTTAAACTTTATTATTATAATAAAGAGGCTATGAAAGATTTAAATTAAATAAACAAGTTTATTGAAGCTTTGTTATATATTATGTTTAATACATTTTTGGAATATAAATAAAGGTTTTTTTCTATATAAAAAAATTAGATTCGTTTACAGTAATATCACATAAATTATATTCATGATTACAAAAAATCTGCTTCCAACAATTTAAATAGTTGCTCAGTCTATTACGTACATTGATTATTTATTTGATATATTTCACATATTGCTAACTGGTTATTGTTTATAAACTAAGAAAACAAATTTAAATTCTGTATATACAGGGTGTCTCAGAAATAAGTACAAGTATTTAAACTGGTAGTATCTTAGATGGTAGTATAGTTAGACCCCAGAAAAACGCCCATGCAGTTTTTTGCGAAAAAAAATATTTCCGGAAAAAAAAACAGACTAAAAGACGGTTTGTTCTTGTTTTTAATGTTTTTTTATGTTACGTAGTAACCGACGTGTTTCAACAGAACGAAAACTTGTACAAGTATTCAAGAAGTAACTAACTGTACTTGAGTGTAGTGTTGTCTAAAACTGTATTGAAGTGAAATTTAATTAAGTTTGCTGTTGTCAGAACCACAGTGAGGTGAAGCGTACTAAGTTTAGTGTTGCGTTCTTAGGTAAAGGGTGGTAAAATTAAAAAGAACACTAAGTATTGTTTAGGCTGTGGCTAAGTGTTACATCAGCTTGCCATCAGAAGTTTGCCACCGCTATTTTAATGCTACCACGTCTTAAAATACTTGCACTTATTTCTGAGACACCCTGTATGTCGGAATTAATAACTCGTGTTTGTCAAAGTATGCATACATATTTAGCAACCTATAGAAAAGTCAATTAGCATTTCAAATTTTAGTAAATAATTTAAATACAGTAGTTGTTATTGGAGTAAAACTTATATTAATTTAAGGTTTGGTATAAAGTTAAAAATTCGTATAAAAAAGTAAATTGTAAAAAAATTGTATAAAGGAAAAGAGTGGTTCTAAGACAGAAAGCAATAACAAATAATTTAAAATATATACATAATTAGAGCCTTAGCAATTAAAAGAAAATAAATTTATTTTTCAAAATTATATAACCCCATTTTAGGCCACTCATACATACATATTTTACTATTTTTTTACAAAATTGTTGATCTTGTAATTCATTATTATCGTCAAATTGATTTGTCTATATAAAAAAAGTCGCAGCAATATCACTTTCTGTCCTAGAAGTATATATCCCTAAACATGAATTAATACCATATTAGTAAACATTTAATTCAGAAGTTACCTCTAATAGGATTTTGAACCAAAATATCCTTTTGACACATGATTATTATCTAAAACAGGCAGCTACTTAGTTAAAAACTTAAGAGAAGTTACTGAAGTCTGTTTTCAATTTTATACTTGGCGTAGGAATAGATAAGGGTTGGTTGTTAATATTAACTTCGTTTTTAATCTTAATGTGGTTTTGTTGGCTACGCCTTATGGCGGTTTCTAATTTCGTTCTGAGGTCTGAAGAGCTGGTCATCAGTTTTTTAAATTCCTGTTGAATAAAGTATTAGTGTATCAGTATATAGAATATCGAACTTGATCATTATCAGTTACCTTTGGATAAGTCGGGCCAATTTTCACCAGTTTCTGTAAACTTACATCGTGCAAAGATACTAAGTATTTATTTAGAGTTTTCTCATGAGGGTTTTGCAATAAATAATTCACCAGAACAGGCACCAGCAATGACAGCATCTGAATTCCTAGAAAAATAATGCGTTTTTAACGTAAAATTCATTCATAGTTTTTAACAGTATGAAAAAAATACTTGCCTTGCATAATATTTCCTATGCAAGATGAAAAAGAGAAAAACAATTTAGAATATAAAATTCATGAGTTGAAAAATATATCGGTAAACATTATTTTAAAAAAAAATGTTTGATATAAATTACATTACGTTATTTAATAAAATATTAATGGAAGGTAACAATTAATTAATTTACTTAATGACATAAATTTTATTTATATGCGTGTAACCTTGAACATATCTAAATTTTAATATAAATTAGACAGCCTCAAAACCTGATAGTAATTTCATTAAATTTCGAGTAGCATTGTGAACAGCCTACGCACAATATACTTACTATTATGTGGTTCGGCTAAAGCAATTAAACTTTCAACTGCATTAATCGTTTCTACTGTGATACAGAAGTCTTCATTGGATGCCATGTTCTTCGATTTTTCTGAGTACAAAAACTCGACTAACTGAGGGGCTAAGGAATGGATATAAGGCGTTGCCACAGCTTTTTGTGGATGACTAAACAAAGACTTTAAAGTCTTTATGCATTTCAGTTTAGTCTGAAACAGAGTTAAATAGTATTTTATTATGAAATGTGTAAACGGCTTCTCAGAGTGACAATTTGAACAGTAGCAATTGGGAGTTAAGACAAAAAATAATGGGAAATCCTTGAGGTACTTTTTTGAATCACCCTACTTCTCCTCTAATAGGACAGACCCCTTCTTTTGTACGTTTGTTTAAAAACTTCTGCTACCTTTGAGGTTTTCCTGAAAGAATTTTTTGTCTCAGATATTCCCAACAGCACTTTTGAAACTGTCCACTCTCACCCTGTATCTGTATAGTACTCACAGCCGCATCCTGGCTTTGTAAACACTGGCGGAAGTGATTTAAGCAAGGATATTGTAGATTAGGTGCTGCGACGACCATAGATGGTGCGTGTAGAATAAAAACAGCAATGGCAAGTAGAGGAGCTGCCTCATCTGGCCCTGGCATCTTGGCAAGATCTATTACTTTCGCTAAAGCACTTTGTAGAAGAAGACACCACTCTGCATCAGTGGCACGTGAATCCGACGCTAAAGCCCTCAGGAGTTGTAGGGCGGCAGGAGCAGCAGAAGGTGCTTCTTTTAAAATTCCCGTTCCTAAATATAACAAAGATGGAAGTATTGCTAACGAGCCCTGAAGAGAACAAAGACCCGGCAAGGCCCCCAAGGCGGTAAATGCGGCAGTTAAAAGGTGAGAATCGCTACACCTTGACGCTCCAGTCATTGCTGGGTGCGGAGTGGGACTAAGGGCTGGAATTTGCCGTACTATGAGACACAGACATATTTCAAGAGCGGCAAAAACCAGAGAGTTATGCGGATCCAACTCTCCGTTGCTGCCTCCTTCTCCAAGCTTATCGCGTTCTTCAACAGTTCTTGTTTCGTTTCCATCTATTTGTCGATTTCTTTCGTCATTCAATCGGTCTGTAGCGGCTTTGAGAACTTGTTGCAAGACTCCCATGCACAAAAACTGACAATCAACAGAATCCTGGGTAAGAACTAATCGGTGCAGAACATTACACAATTCTACAACTAACGAGGAATCTGCAAGTAGCAATTCTCTAGTTCTGTTAACTTCTAGTATGGCTTTTAATGCCCTGAGGCATGTATCGACTATATACGGAGATTCGGTACCTCGGGGTCCGCAAAGGGCTTCTATACACGTGCCAAAAAGAAGTCTAAAGTAGTCAGATTGTGGATTGTTATTCGATTCATCTTCAAGGGGTGTTGTGCTCGCTGGAGCAGATAGCAAAAGAGCAGCTGCTAGTAGAAGGGGAGGCCAAGCAGCGACATAGTGAGACCTTGCGGCTTCTGCTGTTTCAGCGGTATAAAATGCCCCGCCGTCGTGAGGCAATTGTCCAGAGAACTCTGGAGGTAAAGCTAATAATGCTCTATCTCTTAACGCATTTAACCAGTGATTAGCTAATGTTGACAGCTGAGGTTTTACTAAGTCGAGTAATCCAGCGTCTGGAGGACCTCTAGCTCCAGCCGCTACGATGTATACTTCTGCCCAAGCTTTCAATATGGCCAATCGTTCTAATGTTATCATCGCTTCGTTATACAGTAAGGTTCCTGCCGCAGACGGTTTTCCAAGCTTTGTAAGCGACGACACCATCAGCTGATGAACTCGTCTCAAATCTGCTGCATCTCTAGCTACTTTAGCCCCAATCCAAGCAGAACAGGCTTCACATGCGGCAGCAGTAACGTGGGGAGCAGTATCGCCGGTAAAGGCAGGTCTCAGGGCGGCGCTTACTTGTGCTTGGAACTGTTCTAATAACAGATGCCCTGGAAATTCGGGTTCAGGTTCCATAGCAAACTTATCGATTAGTTCTCTTAACATTTTTAAGCCTTCTAGTCTTAGGGGATCGGAATCACTGGTTGCTGCTATAAATGCCATTCGAATAAGGTCGGGTAACTGAGGGGCTAGCCGTTTTGCCGTGCATCCGGAAAGAACTCTCCGTGCACATTCCGCGGCGAAAACTCTCGTGGGCCAACGTGGTTGCACAGCGCGTTGTTGATTGTCTTCTTCAGCGTGAAATTGTTCTTGGTCATCATCTTCAGGAACGGCATCTAATCCTGATCGTTGATCCCCCTCTCCAGGTTCAGAAGCTACAGTTAAAACATCTTTGCACAGCCCTAACCATTGAGGCAGATGTTCCGTTGCCAGTACGTGCAACATACTTATGATGGTATCGTGTATATCTTTAATTAAACCTGCATCAGTTTCGGTATCTAATAATCCGAAGAACACTCCAGGTAAACCAGTTTCGGTAATGATCAAGCCTTCCACAGTTGGCCCTTCACTAGCTAGAGTTAAAGCGAGATCGCATACTTCTTTGGCTTCCCGCTGCGCCAATTGCCTCAAACATGATATCGCGGCTTTTCTTAAGAGTAGATGATCGCTTGAAAGTGCCCTCTGAAAAGAGAAATCCTTCATTTATGTTTGATTTAGTTATGACAATGAATTTATACTTACACAAAGTGTAGGAACTAGCGAAGACAAATTGACGTGTTTCGGAGCAAACAAATGGAGCTGCTGAAGACAAGCAGTAGCTTCAGCTTGAACTACCGGCTCGGGATGACCTTGTAAAGCGGCACAGGCGCAGAGGAACGAGGAACGGGCCATGCATATGGTTGATGTATTGCCCTAGAGATACAAATATTGCTCTATGAAACCTACAAGTTATTGAAGTGATAACGACAATCTTACTTGCAATTCGGGTCCTATTGTGGTAATGAGAGATGAAAGAAGTTTGCCTACGCACCGGTGAACGTCAACAGAAGCTGGTGGTGTCTCTAGAAGTAAGCGCAGAGCTGCAGCTAAAGATTGTTCGACAAATCCACGGAACATGGGTCCTCCAGCGTCCGCACAAAGCCGTAGAGCGTGCAAAGCCCAAGCCTGTACCGCTGCCGAAGCACGGTCCTGTCCTAGAGCCAGTAAAATAGAGACGCTTGTTTGCATCAGTCTAGCCGCTCCCAAACCCCCTACATGACGATGCAACGCTCCTAAAGCTAAAGAATGACCTGTTCTTGAGGCGGCATCTCGAGCTGTCCTTAGACGCTCGATACTAGCTTGGATTAGTTCAGCTGTAAAGCGAGGATCCGCCAAAGCACGCGCTAGACGTCCCAAAGTCTCCGCTGCGGCCGCTTTTAAGACAGCCGGTGCTCCTGTAGCGGCTAACGCACCGGACGATAAAGCGGCGGCACGTTTCGCCTCATCATTACTCAGAGATGCCTAGTGATATAAATTAAAATTGAATACAGTTGCTTAAAAAATATTAAAGACGTACTTTGGCAGCTGCAAGTCCTCTAAGACCGCTTAAAAGAGCAGCAAAGACATTCAACTGAACAGCCTCCTGACGGGAACTACGAGCTGCTCGAACACATTCCGAGAAATGATCTAGGGTTTGAGTTCGATGACGTGGAGTAACACGAGCGAAGAGTTGGCCAAACAGTAAGACGGCAGCATCAATGACGGCAACGCCTAAAGGTAAAGGTCCAGGCGGAGCCTCTCCATTCCCTGATCTGAACAGGCAACAAGGATCGTGTTCCAAGGCCCCAGAACCCGCCGCACTGTGTGTCTGAAGCTATAAGATATAAACAATCTACAGTCATGCTCTCTAAAATTGAATAATAAAAAAATACGAAAAACAGAAATAACTAAGATGCCTTTATAAAACACTCTCAAATGTTACTCACATGATCACCTTCACCTTTCCGACTAGGTTCCATCTAAGATAAATATTGTTTAATTAAGGAGTTATACATTATTACAAGAAAAATATCAAGAATTTCAGTCAAATTCAATAGTAACCTACCTGATCTTCAATAGTGCCATGATCAGTTTCTTGTAACCAAGTTGCTAAAAGTATAGCATCGTCTGCGTGACACACCGATTTTAACTGAGATGTTGTGGTATTAGCAGGGTTTTCCGTTAATGTAAATTCGGCAACCAACATTCGTAATAGATGAGTATAGGAACCTTGAATTAACATGTGCTGGGTATTGAACGTCAAATAATTTTAATATATTGCTTACTTTCGTATGAATGTGGCGATAAGAGCAACAACGTCTCGCATAGGCGTAGTCTCACCATAGCAGCGGGTGCTTTAAGCTGTTGTCCGTATGTTTTTAGAACGCTCGATATACTGCAAAAATGGCGTAAAAAATACAAAAGTAGTTCCTTACACCTACCAAGTTATAAATATGTTACCTTGTAAGCATGGCTAAGGCTGCTTCTACTGGTTGTAAAAGGCGTCTTCCAGAATCCTCACCACTCGCTAAACTGGGGCAATGTAGTAAGAGACTATGCATTGCAGCTAAGGCGCCTGCCCTACCTTCCAAGGCAACCTGCCAGGTAAAAACATCCCCACGAGCCTTTTCTGATTCTAGCTCTTTGGCGGAACGAGGGAAGGCGTTCCGCCATAACAGAAGCATTCTGGGCAAGAGTGGACGGGCCGCTGCAGGACCTAGAGCTGCAACAGCTCCTACTAATAGCCAACCTGCGCTAGTTCGTGCTAAAGACAAGCGACTGTTTTGACTTGCGCTTCGCAGTAATTCTTCTGCTGTGTTAAATATTACTTTTCCTTTGGTATGGGGAACACCCAAAGGTGACAACTTGACTCCTCCTAGCACAGCAGCTAAAGCAGCACTATAACCAGAAATAGCTTCTGGTGAACTTCTGTATTGTTCTATACCTGTCACACACCGATCTAAAATCGACATTAATGAAATTTACGTAGTTATGCTTAAACTATTTTTAACTAACCAATTAAAGGAGAAATCTGACTCGGCACAGCGACGCATATGCATCTAAGACACCATGCAGCTGCAAGTCGGGCAGCTTGACATGGATGTATAAGAACACTCATAGTTACATCAATAACATCTAAAATTATATTTTCATTGCATTATCAACTCTAAACTGAAATACATTAATAATATACTTAGGGATTGATCAGTGATCAGGTCATGAGCTGTAGTTCCCAAACTGAGGATAAGACTTCCAATCTCTTGTAGAGAACATACCAACAGATGCTGGCTAAACAGAGTCTCCTGATTAAATTCCTTCGCATTTTCTGGGTTAAAATCTATGCTATTCATTTCTTTTACTATAATTTGAGCAATCTGTTTGCAAGCAGTTATTTGTGCCTTTTCTCCAAACATTTTACCAAAAACGCTTCTCAATATAAAATTAATACATTTCCGGGAATAAACCGCATCAACATGAGAAGAAGCAGCTTTAGGATTAGCAACTAGATACAATACATGGCAAAGAAACAGTTTCATATTTTTTTCTAACCATGAACTGCCTAATATTTGAACAAAATTTACATAGGCCTAAAATAATATAAAAAATTATAGGAATTCGAATCATAAAAAAATAACTCACATGTGTGACACCAACTCTGACTTCTCTATTAACACCCGAACTGCCCTTAATAATTTCTCCAGTGCCTTTTAAAAAACCCACTCCTCCTCTAAGAAATCCAGACATTAAAATTCCCATGGCTTCATCCAGAGAATATACTTTTAAATTTTTGTTTGCTGGTATCGCTAGAATTATTTTTATTAAACATTTAGGAAACAATTAGTAGATTTATTTTTATTACAAACCATTTTTTGCGGTCGATTCTTTTTGTCCTAGTTGTGTTGTTGCTATTAAGTGACCAAGTAGCCTAGCTACAGAGCATCTAACTTCATAATTAGAGCCATCAAATGCTCTAAAACACAAGGTCGCTAAGCTTTCTAATTCGGGTCCGTGTAAAAATGGCGCGTGTTTTAACAACTCCAAAAGACATTTTGAGGCGGCGCATCTCACTGCCATATTACGATCAATCAAACATGGCCTAGCAGCTTTGTAAACATCCTTATGTATATTACAAGCTGCACTGCCCATACCAGCACAAACTGCAAATATTTTGTAGTTGATTTGTCAAGTGATAATTGATGTAAAAATATTCATGTACCTTTTTCAAGTGTAAGCATTATTTCAATTCTTGTTTGTGACTCAGCATTTCGCAATGATTTTACTAAAATTTGGACTGTCTCTTCATAAGATCTACCCATCATTCTCCCTAATTTTTCATACATTGTTCCTACACAGCAAATTGCTGCCCTAAAACATTTAGAACGATTAATAAAGGCCGCGAACTGCTAGACACAATCAAACACCGAAAAGCAGCATATCTGGGTCATGTAATACATAACAATAGATACTAATTCCTTCAGTTGATCAATGAAGGAAAGATCGAGGAAAAGGGAGGAATCGGCAGGAAGAGGATGTCATTGCTTTGCAACATCAGACAGTGGACGGGACTGAGGACAATGGAATGACTCCATACAATCTGAAATAAGAGTGGACTAATGTGATCGCGAACATCCATTAGTGGATTTGCAGCAGAAGAATACTTAATTTATTTTTTGTATCTCTAAACATTCACACAGCATGAGTAACAACTAAGTTAACTATAATTTTTATAAATTCATATGGTTTACAACAATCCCATTATTACTTGAACATGCAAAAGAAGAATTGATATACACTTTATCATTTTATTTACTTACAATCTTGTTGGTAAGAAGCTAGGACTATCGTCCTTGTTTTTAAGAATGTCATTACATTGATTCACAGTGTCAAAAAGTAAGAAGGCATCTCCAACGGAGAACAACGTAGCAAGGCATCTAGCAATTAGTTGTCGAGTTGGGGGCCCTGGGGACTCATGAATATGATTCATTAATTGTTGCACTAGTTGTTTTTGACAACCCTTGATGTCATTCTAAAGGATACTTGTATGTAGTAAGCAAATATATATTTTATATATTCATGTTCTTACCTTCTGAGCAGCACCAAGAACTTTATCTAGATATCTGAGCCACTCAAAAATAAATACAGCCTTTTATTTATGATAAATATAAAGTTTTTTTTAAATTCTAAATTAAAAGAATAACTTTATAATTAAATCTCATTATTGTTTACTTTCTAAGAATTTGCCATGTCTTAAGCCCCGTTCTCAGAACTGCGTCGTGTCGACAGCGACACTGATTGACACTTCAAACGACCAATGGGAGCTGTACTATATTTAAAATTGACAGCTGTTTAAATTTTGTACAAATCTGATTGGTTCTTTTGTCGTGTCGCTGGCGACAGTCGCAGCTCTGAGAACGGGGCTTTAAAATCATTTATTTGACGTATAGCCAATGACATTAACAGATGTCATACAGATGTCAATGTCAATCTCAGCTGTTTTCCATCTACGCCATTCATTGTTCTTTGACAGAATATCTTATATTAATTTTTATGTTTTGCTTTACTGGACATTTAATTCTAATACAAATTATTATAATAAACCTTTAAAATTTTAAAAATTTTAGGATTACAACTATAGTCATAGACTATAGCCTTATTTTATAACGCTTTTTTGTAGGTATGACGTGACGTGAGGCACCCAAAAGTTGTCAAAATATCCTTATGTTTTTGTTTTGAATAATAGAAATGTAAATAGTTTAAAGTTTAAAGTAAATATTTAACTATCCATGTATTTTTTAAGAAATTAACAAGATTGTTATTCAACGGAGGCAATTATAAGTGCCATAGTTAATTAAAGCACATAGTTCAGATAGAATTAAAAGTAAGTATTTTTAATGTAAATATTCGCCTATTTGAATAGGTTAGCTTTGCTTTTCTAGAATACCTTTTTCCTAAGCTTGAAGATTTTTACTTTTTAAAATTTGTTATTTTACAAGAGGGATGAAGCTGCTTCTTTATACTAATGGTATGTGAATTTTTATTTAATACTTTTATATCCTTATTAGCTAACCTAATGCAAATACCTATTAACTTTGGCTTATATTATTAGCCTGTAACTTCTAACATTTTCTGCTTTACCTCATTATTGATTACCGAGGTTATTTATATCATTAATTTAATTTTTAGAATGCATGCACAAGAAACTGTGATGAATTTTATGTTATTTTGTTTCGTAACTTTTATGGCAACAGTACAATGTAGAAATGATCCCAAAAACGATCCAAGAAATAGTGGCGATCTATCTCTCTGGATTGACGAAAAACAGGTGAAAATGTTCAGTGGTAGGTTTAAGGTGTTTTATTATTTGGGCAGGAAAAAATAATATATTTTATAGGAATGTCAATGGAGATATATGCCATTGCTAATGGAACTGTACTCCCCTATATACTTGACCCAAACTTTGAGAACCGTTTACCAGTTATTCCTTCTGAAGTCAGCTATGTAAATTTTACATGGAAAGCTGGAAATAAAAAGTATAACTATAACTTTGATAGATTACAATCTTATGACGAAAGTGTCTTAAAAGCACCTAAAATATCAATTAAAACTAAAGGTAGAGTGCCAAAAAGAGCAAAAGAATTTAGCGTTTTCCTACCTTGCATTGGAAATAACTCTGGCACGGCTAAATTTGGAATTGGTTTAATGATAGAGTCCAGAAAAGGGAAGCCTTTGAATGGAACTCCTTTACGATTAAATCTCATAAAGGAATGCTCTTTTTCACAGAGGCGTAAGATTTATATAATTAGCTCACTCATGAGTTACATATTTTATCTGTTATTCTAGATCCAGATCCTGAGTGTGATAAGAAATGTGCTAATCAGGGCTGGTGCAATCATGACAAAATATGCCAGTGTCCTGAAGGCTATATGGGTCAATACTGTAAAACTGCGCTATGTTATCCACAATGCATGAACGGTGGTAACTGTACATCTCCAGGCGTTTGCAGTTGTCCATCTGGTTTTCAGGTATTTTTTTAGATTACCTTCTTGTATAGTGAAGTATACTCCTCTTTATCTTCAAATATTAGGTGACTCTTACCTATTAAAAAGTATTAAACAATTTAAATTTTAGTGAAGAAGAGAATAGGGTGATTCAAATATATTTTTACACTACAAACTTGAAGTTTTTTACTCTCTTTATATTTTTGGGAATATTTTTAAAATGTGCAATATTATTGCCTTAAAATGTTTCATATTGAGCGTTTTTCTAACACTGGGACACCCTGTAAGCACGTTCATAATGTGTTGATATAATAACTTTTTTCCAAGTATTATGGATTTAACAAGTACTTTGCTTTCAGTTGAACTGATTAGATAAAATTTAGAATATATTTTTATCTATACATAGTTGTGATAATGTAAATCAAAATATAATGGATGCATATTTCGATATAATTATTATCTAAATTGAGTATTTGCTTTCTATTGGTAATTTCAAATTCTTTCTTTAGGGGGCGCATTGCGAAGGAGGTATTTGCAGTGAAAAGTGCCTAAACGGTGGCAAATGCGTCCAAAAGGACACTTGTGAATGCTCCAAGGGTTACTACGGGCCTCGTTGTGAATTTTCACGTTGTATCATCCCTTGTTTGAATGGGGGAAGGTGCAAGGGGGTGAATAAATGCAAATGCCCGCGGGGTTTTAGAGGCGACCATTGCGAAATAGGACGAGCCAAACCCGCCAGGGCCGCTTGCAGTGTCACTTGCAGACACGGCTCATGTGATACTGAGGGGAACGAGGGAAAGCACAGATGCATTTGTGATCCAGGTTTTCATGGACAATATTGCCAACATGGTAAGTATACAGGGTGACCCAGCGTTTCGAAAAAAATCCGTATCTGGTTTTCTAACTGAAATTTTCACTTCAGTAATTTTAATGGTGCAAATTTTAAAAATATATTCACATATATACAGGGTGATTTAAATACATTTTTAATTTTAAACATACGTTTAATGTAACTACAGTTGTATTTATTTATATATGTTTTTTTCGCTCAGTGGATGACTCATAAAGTTCCCATCCAAAAATAATATAATTTATACTGAGTAGTTTTATGAACATGGCTATTTTCAGACAGTCTTTTTCTACTCATTTAATGCTCTTCCAGAGTTATAAAACACGAGATTCAGACTAAGTATAATAAAGTAAACTGTATAATGCATGATAGGAAAATAAAAAGTGCAGGAAAATAAAAAGTTGCATTTTTTTCTACTATTTCAAATGAAACATCCTTTATATTATGACATTTTTGACTTGTAGTATGTACCAGGTAGTATACAGGGTGAGTCTTAAAAAAGTGCAAATATTTTTAGGGGTGGTATATTTCGACCCCAGAAATGAGTTTTTTTTCGTGAATTTTTTTTTGAAAATTTGGAAGTTTTAATTTTTAGTTAAAAACATAATACCTTTATAACCTGGTAATATAGCTAGTAGATTAAATTTACAAGAAAAAAAAAACAGAAAAGATCCAGCGGTTCTTAAAATTTAAACCAAAAATCAGTTTTTTTTAGATTGAAAAACGTTAAAGAGAAAATATATTCCTTTTATGGAGATTTACCAGCCCTGAAAATATTTGCACATATTTAAGACTCACCCTGTATATAGTGCCAGATTATGACTATAGAGTAGTATATCTATATTAATATTTTTGCCAGCAATAATAATACAATTGCCAGCATATTAAAAATATAGATTGGTGCGAGAATCTCAAATAAGAAACTTGATATGCTGTTTTTTCGAAACACTGGACTGCCCTGTATAGTTTAGCTTGCTTTGAGCAGAATATAATATAAATATTTTTTTTGTTTCAGAGAATACTTTATAGTTAAGTGTGTTGAATATTGTTGCCATTTTTTGTATATGACGAATACAATAAATATTATTTTACTCTTGTGGTATTTTATTTTGTCTTTCCTTAATCTATTGATTATTATTTTTAAAATTTGGCGCTTTCAGATTTGATGAAACAGTCTGTAAAACTATCTCAAATAAAGCATATGATTTATTAAAATTGATAGTAAATATGCACTTTTAGCTTATTGGATTGCTTCCAGGGAGGAACCTTTATTTGCGCGTTGCTATTTGCGATTCTGGAGTTGGCAAAAACAGACGGCAATCTGTGCGTACGATGTTGGCCATACACCGCGTCACCGTATTAACTACCTTAGTTAAGGGCTCGATTTGCGCATGTGTTGTAGTTGTCAACAGGACGCTGCGATCTGGAGCCCTCGATTTTACTCGATCCTAGTTGATCCTTGTTCAATTTATTTTAATAAAAAAGGACAGCCGCTGGCTTTAGGTGCTTGCCAAACACGTCGCGAACGTGGTGTAGGTAGGCGTTGCTAAGAATCAAGGCGACTGGCTGTTGTCTCCACAATGAAGCTCACCACCTAGTTCGTATTGTGAGACAAAAATGAGAATTGGTTATGTCGTAAAACACGTGTAAACACCTTTACTACAATGCTTTTTAGATTACCGAATGTGACTTTTATTTTTATTTCGATTTTATGTTATTTTTTCTGTGGTTCCATAGGGAAACCAGGACCTAATACTAAAGAGGGTGAGTTTGTTTTTCCTTTTAAATGCCCGTCCTTCACTTTGACGTTTATCCGATGCATCAATTATAAAAAAAACATTTAACCAGTAAACATTCTGGAAGGGGTGTTTTATTTTTTATTCGTCTTTTAAAAAGAGAAAATGAATTTAAAAATCGGCGTCAGAAAATCAGGTGATTGATGATTGCAGTATTTATTTACATTTATATCTATTCACCTGGTTTTATAGTCAGATAGGTAAATGTTTTTTTTTTAATGACCGGTATTTATTTAAACCTTTGTAATATATTTCTAGTGCTCCAGTATGTATTCGTAATTTGGTGAAACCAAAAAATACACATTGACAATGTTTTATTAAAAACATTTTATTTTATTTTATTAAAATAATATTTTGTAATATGAACGATAATTTATATTGTATTATTTTCAAGTAAATATTTTGATAACGAGCAATTGTAATTCTTCAGACGTTGAAAAACGTAAAGAGGCCTACGCAAAATGAAGAAAAACATTGTATGTTAGTACCCAGTCTTTAATTGATTGAAAACATTTAAGGCCAAATGACCTCTAATTAAAATATAAAACACCATTTTTTCTGTACACTGTATCATTTGCCTATTTAATACATTAATTGTGTATTTATTTAATTATTTAAGAAAGAAATCCAACTGGGTTAGGGTTAGAAACTATTAAAACTATTTTAATTTTACTCTCTTTCTGTCTTTTTTAATTACAAAATTTTTAATAGCCCTAAATGCACGAAAAGGACAGCAAGATATTTATTTAAAGCATTTTTATTAGAAATTATCTATATTCTATTAAAGTATTTGAATTTTTATTTGAGATATCTAATTTTTCTGTTTTTTGTTATTTTTTAGGCTCAATATGCCCACAAAGACAATTTAGTTGTGCTAATAAGAAGTGTATTCCTATAAATTTTCATTGCGATGGTGAGGATGATTGTGGTGATAATTCTGATGAGAATCCCATTGAATGCCAGAGTAAGTGACTATTATTTTTCTTTACCTGTTTTTTAATTTTTTATAATGTAGACAAAAATATTTTTGTATTTATTAACCGATATAATATCAGTATGGGAACAATCATATTTATCGCATAAATTAATCCATAATCCATCTTTAGCTCTGCTACAACCCTACATTTTATCTTACATAAACTAAGTTTGCGATAAATATGTGAGATTATTACCTATCGAAACCCAACCGATAAAATACTGTTTTTCAGTTTTATACTTTTCGGTAGCAGTAGGACTTATTTTAAGAAGAAAAATTCATGGTTCGTTTAAAAAATACAGGGTGGTAAAATTTTCAAAAAAATCGATTGATTTTACCAATGTCCGGATCTCTGAAGATATTTAAAAATAATTTAGAGGCTAAAATTTAGTAGGTTAAAATTAAAAAATAAAATTACCGTCCTAAATTTCAATGCTTTGTCTAAATGAGCAATTCATTTACAAAAAACGTCTCTTGATAAAAAATAAATATTCTCATTGGTTTAATTCTTTTTTTTTTAATTATGACACACTGTATTATTAAAACGATTTTTTAACCCAATGTTGATACAAAAATGTTCTTGTTAAAATAAGTTTTTTACCCTGTTAAAGGCCCTCTACTAAAAGTGGACTACCCTGTTCATATATGTACGTTTAATGGCTTTGTATAATTACTTGGGCAACAATAAAAAAATGGAGAAAAAAACGATTATTCTAAACAATTTAACGTATTACGTAAATTGTGTATAAATTTTGTATTGGCTTCCAGTTAGTTTGAATAGAAGTATTTTTGTACATCTTTAACATTCATAAATATAACAGGAAACATCATAATTATTTTATTATTAAAATTGAGTCGATATGTCATGAAATAGACTGTTTAATTGTTAGTGTTTTCCGTATATAATAAATAAATGCTAGTACAAGTTCGCTATCATTAACACATTCATTAATTAATCGTAAGGAAGCTATTTACTATTAAGATCTGTCATACTAGAATTAATTGAATTGAGGAGATTAAAGTAAAAGCAATTATTCTTCAAAATTTAAATGCAAAAATGCGTAGATGTTTTCCACAAAATAGTATCCGGAGATTCTGAGATATATACATATATTGTTGTCACATAATTTATAATAATCTCTCTTAATAACATTGAAGTATAAATATTTAATACAACGCATTAAATAATAATGTATATTTTTGTTACTAAATTAAACTAACAAGTAAAATTATTTGTCGTTTTTATTTCATATTATTCTATTTGATTAAAATTATATTACTTCGATAGAAAAAGGCAACTAGTATAATATAATAGATATAAGTAGCAATAAGTAATATACTAATATAAAAAAAAGCTATAAAATTAGTGATAAATAATTTTAATCGACAATTATATTTTAATATGCATAGGCAATTTGTAATATTACAGCTTAAATTTGAATATAAAACAGGGCGTAATTGAAAAACTGTCAAATATATATTTATACCGAATGAAATTTAAATTTACACGAAAGAAAAATCTTGGAAGGTTATAATTAAATTAATTGGCCACACGTTTTCATACAGTAAACAAACAGTATTAGACATACGAACATTAATGGGTAATTTTAATTGATAATGTTTGTTTTGTTCAATAGTTCGTACATTTCTGAGTAACTAAATTTTTATATTAGCTTTTCTTTTTCTTATCGGTCAGAAAATATAAAAACTGTTGTAGTCAAAACTTTTTAAGACATTATTCTTTTTTATAGTTAATTCGTGTTTTGTCTTCTCTTAAAATTCATCCTACGGAAGAAGTAATCCGAATAAATATTTATTATTGAATTTGATTTTCTTTAAAAAATATATTTAACTTTAGTGTAAAGCTAATAAGTTTATTATAAAATGAAATTGTGTGTTGTGCTAAATATATCAAAGAGAAAACATGATATGGAGCTTTTTCATAGCAGTAGACCACCCTGTATATTAAATTTTATGCTGTAAAACATAATAAAGACTGAAGTAAATAATGTTCTAAGTGCCAAAATCATTATTTCAAGATAAACAACATTTTTTGTTATACAGGGCGAATCTTAAATAAGTGCAAATCTTTTTAGAGGTAGTATATTTCGACCTCAGAAACGAGGATTTTATAAGGCTTTTGCGCAAAAAAAAAATGAAAATTTGGATTTTTTTGAGTTAAAAATCAAAATTTCTTGATAACATAGCAACATAGTTAGTAAATTAAATTTACAAGAAAGAAAACCAAAAAATATCCAGTGGTTCTCACAATTTAAGCAAAAACTCTTTTTTTTAATTTTCAAAATAAAATAACTGGATTATTTTAGACTTATTTGAAAAAAGTTTCTTTTATCGAGATCGACAAGTTCTGAAAATATTTGCACATATTTAAGACTCACCCTGTATAACCAGGAGAAACCAAAAGAGAAAATGCCATATCAAGTTTATAAAATAGATGAAGTTCAAAAACTAATAAATAGATAATAATTGGTGATATTAAAATAAACAAAATTTCAAAAATGGTTATTATTAGAAAATAATTGATTATAATAATTTCCTAAAATCTGCATTTTAAATCCGAATAAATATTTATTATTGAATTTGATTTTCTTTAAAAAATATATTTAACTTTAGTGTAAAACTAATAAGTTTATTATAAAATGAAATTGTGTGTTGTGCTAAATATATCAAAGAGAAAACATGATATGGAGCTTTTTCATAGCAGTAGACCACCCTGTATATTAAATTTTATGCTGTAAAATTTATGTAAATAGTAAATATATAATAATCTACATATTATACTATAATTTTAATTTTGTATTATTTTTTATTATTAAAGACTATAGGCTTTCCGATTTTGCAAAAATTCCGCTAGTGCTTTATGATCTTTTTTCTAGGCTTTAGTTAACGTTTACCAAACAATAATTTTAATTTAAAAAAATATTATCATACATAATGACGTAGATAACAAATTGTCGACAAAACTAATTATCATGCTTATTATATTTCATTATTTTTCTCACATTTAAGTGCTAACAAATTATATAGTTTAACAAATTATGATTTAACAAAATATTTTGATGACATTTATTCGCTCACCAGTGACGACTTTACGACGTACTACCAAATCTGTAAACTTTCGTACTACATTACATTAGTATACAATTTGATTTGTATTACATTTTTTTCCTGTTTATATTATACTTTAACCTCTAAATTTGTCTTCCAAAAGGGGTCAATAGGATTTATTTTATAAGATAACTGGCGCGCATTGATATTATTACGCAGTTATTACATATGCACCATGCAAAAAATATATAGTTGTTACTTTGTATATATATATACAAAGTACATTTTGCCCTATTTCTGTTATATAAAAAAAACCTTATGCTCTTTTATCTCTTTTATTTTTAAATTGACTATATTATTTTCTTTAATTAATGAGATTTAGATACTTATTAAAAGATGTTACGCATTTTATGTATTACATAAGATAGAATTTTATCAAAATGTTAACATTAAGAAATAATTTTTATGCGTAGCTACTAGACACAATTCTTTTCAAAACCTTGACTCTTTTTACTTGATAAAAATTATTAGAAGATATAGATTTTTATTTTATTGAGCAAACTATTAAATTTCCTTTGTTAGCTAATTTACAATATTTGTATTTCTGTATCGAAAGAATAAAAACACCTTGCTTAGATTGATAACCTGACGAATTTTTAATAATCTACATTTTTTCTTTAAACAGTTTATTTTTTATGATATTAAAAATACTTAATAATTATTAATCCCTCAATATATCTTTTATCTTATGAAAACACAATCTCTAGATAAATATACATTCAACAAACTCTACAATACATGTTTGTTTAATAAATATTCTGTGTTACTTAGTTCACTTTCTTTTGAAAGGGGGTTATTTTCGAAATCATTATTTGGTCTAGTGAATTTTATTCTTCAGGGTTCTCAGTATACTATTTTTAATTTTAACTCCTAAAAGCTTCTGTGTTGCTTATATTATGAGAGAGACATCTATACCAAAATTAATGTTTTTAAAGTGGCCATACACGTTCTAGTTTACTGGAAGACAGACAGCAGACTTTTCTCTTTGAAAATCTACAAGATATTAGACGTGTCTCCCGTGTTTGGTGATCTTAACATAATAAAGACGAGAGTTTATTGAATTTTAAGTGTCCATTTGTTTTATTGGCAAAAAGATTGGTCTGTCGTTAAGTTGGCAGGTGTGTGTCCACATTTAGTCCTTTTTATATCTGTTATAATTCGTTTTTTTTTAAATTATTAATTTTTAATAAACATTTAATGTTATTTTATACTAATATTACATTAAAACTTAAAACTGAAAATTGACTTGTAAATTTTATGTTTTATATTCGTAAATAACTTAGATATCTTTCAATCATCTGTTACAATAAAATAATTGACAGTAAATAACAAATTAATCGTGCATTTGTAAAACTGAATGTTAATTGAGCGCAAATGTCGAGATGACAGATCTTTGTAGGATTAATAAACGTGTTCCTAAACCATTATTTGTTTATAATCCAAAGTCTAGTCTAATTTTGTTCGCATGAAAAAAGAAAAAGAAGCTTAAGCTATTTAAAAAAATCGTTATACATGAATATAAACGTCTAAAATTATCCGAGTTTTGCGTAATTTTTGTTTACTGACAATTTGCGCATGAGAGATCTTCATAATTGCTAATAGTTTTGCCGTCAACGAGAGATGAACGAAAAATAAATATTTTTCAACATTTTCCAGCAATAATATTATTTGTAATATCTGTTTTGAAATAGGTCTTTACGAAATAGGGGTGGCTTGAAAGTAATTTTTATATTGAACCTTATTTTTGTCTCATCCAATTTCAACAGAATAAAAGGGTAGAAAATTCAATTTGTACAGCCGAATTCAGCCAGAATAGATGGGGATTAAGGGTATAGAAAAACTATATTGAAATCGTAAAA